TAGGGTAGGGTAGGGTAGGGTAGGGTAGTGTAAGGGTAGGGTAGGGTAGGGTAGGGTAGGTTAGTGTAGGAGTAGGGTAGGGTAGGGTAGGAGTAGGGTAGGGGTAGGGTAGGGTAGGGTAGTGTAAGGGTAGGGTATGGTAGGGTAGGGTAGGGTAGGGTAGGGGTAGGTTAGGGTAGTGCAGGGGTAGAGGTAGGGGTAGGGGTAGGGTAGGGTAGGGTAGTGTAAGGGTAGGGTAGGGTAGGGTAGTGTAAGGGTAGGGTAGGGTAGGGTAGGGTAGGGTATGGTAGGGTAGGGTAGGTAGGATAGGGTAGGATAGGGTAGGGTAGTGTAGGGTAGTGTAGGGGTAGGGTAGGCTAGGGTAGTGTAGGGTTAGGGGTAGGGTAGGGTAGGGGTAGGGTAGGGGTAGGGTAGGAGTAGGGGTAGGGTAGGGTAGGGGTAGGGTAGGAGTAGGGGTAGGGTAGGGTAGGGGTAGGGGTAGGGTAGGGTAGGGTAGGGTAGGGGTAGGGTGGGGTAGGGTAGGGTACAGTAGGGTAGGGACTAGGGTAGTGTAAGGGTAGGGTAGGGTAGGGTAGGGTAAGGTAGGGTATGGTAGGGTAGGGTAGGGTAGGGTAGGGGTAGGGTAGGGTAGGGTAGGGGTAGGGTTAAGTTCAAAAAGGGCCTAACATACAAAACACTTGAACACCCCGCACCTATCGCCAACCCTTACAGTTTAATTAAAAACAGCTACCCAAATCTATCCAAATAATACATCTAAAAATACAAGTCAATCACCCAAACTAATGCACCCGTAACTTAACATAAATCAAAACATACAGTTATCGCGTAAACCTGTACCTCTAGTCTATATTATAAATCCTAAAAAATCCGCCCACGCCGTCGGGGTTACTCCCTAAAAGGCTGATTAAGGCGCCGTCGATGGACGCACGAGGGTGAAATTTTCACGACTCGTGGGTCACGTCATTCAACAGGTCGTATTAAATTTTGGGCACGATGCGGCCGGGGGTGCGCCCGTGGCGCGTGCTCATGTGCGCCATAGGGTTAACATTAAAAACGGCAAGAACAGGCTATTGCTCGGAAACGGTAAGGGCTACGGGGGTGAAATTTTCGCTGTAAGTCGGACGCGTGCACTCATTTGTCGTATTAAATTTTCGAGGGGGTGGGTTCAGCGGTGTGCACGTGGTGGGGCCGCGACCGGCGCCGAGCAGAGGGCACGTGCTTTAGGCTCAGTTTCTTCGTTTGCAAAACGGAGCGAAATCAGAGCCGGGAGGTCGTTGACCTTTGGCAACGAATACCGACGCCGGGCACCGCTCGCCAAGAGGATTCGCCAGTAAATAAAATTAATTTGTTTTGGCAATATCTCAGCCGTTTCTGGGCCGATTTAGCTGAAACTTGGACTGTCGGTGGTAGTGTAGTTTAGGGTAGGGTAGGGTAGGGTAGGGTAGGGTAGGGTAGGGTAGGGTAGGGTAGGGTAGGGTATGGGTAGGGTAGGGTAGGGTAGGGTAGGGTAGTGTAGGGGTAGGGTAGGGTAGTGGAGGGGTAGGGTAGGGTAGGGTAGGGTAGGGTAGGGTAGGGTAGGGTAGGGTAGAGTAGGGTAGGGTAAGGTAGGGTAGGGTAGTAGGGTAGGGTACGGTAGGGTAGGGTAGGGTAGGGTAGGGTAGGGTAGTAGGGTAGGGTATGGTAGGGTAGGGTAGGTTAGGGTAGGGTAGAGTTAGGTAGGGTAGAGTTAGGTAGGGTAGGATAGGGTAGGGTAGGTTAGGGTAGTAGGGTAGGGTATGGTAGGGTAGGGTAGGGTAGAGTAGGGTAGGGTAGGGTGGTAGGGTAGTAGGGTAGTAGGGTAGGGTAGGGTAGGGTAGGGTACGGTAGGGTAGGGTAGGGTATGGTAGGGTAGTAGGGTAGGATAGGGTAGGGTAGTAGGGTAGGATAGGGTAGGGTAGGGGGTAGGGTAGGGGTAGGGGTAGGGTAGGGGTAGGGTTGAGTTCAAAAAGGCCCAACATACAAAACACTTGAACACCCCGCAAGTATCACCATCCCTTACAGTTCAATTAAAAACAGCTACCCAAATCTACCCAAATAATACAGCTAAAAATACAAGTCAATCACCCAAACTAATGCACCCGTAACATAACATGAATCAAAACATACAGTTATCGCGTAGACCTGTACCTCTAGTACTCGTAAATCGTCGGAAGTTTCATGTGAAAAGTTCGGAGCACTCGTCACCAGCACTCATCATCATGTTTCCGTTGAGGGCTGTAGGCTCACTGGTTTGTTCTGCCGTGAATATAAGTTCCTCTTCGATCAAACCACATTTCGATGAACGATTTGAGTTACGATAAATATCAGATCTAGCTGAGCAGACCGATCGCCATGTCTTCCCACGGCCTCATTCAATCTGCATCCTAAGTGCCATAAACTTTACCGGGACAAAGTCAATAGCCTTAGTAATCGGTTCAACTTGCCCCCATCCATGGTTCCTCCCTCAACTCTGAGCGTCTAGCTAGTTTGAACTTCAGAGCCGCAAGAGTGTCTACTCTCCTACGTAAGTCCTAGTCTCCGTCCCCGGCCTGTGCGAAAGTCCATAAAAGCGTCTGAGAGAAGACGGGAGTCCATCGACGCGTCCTCAGATCCAGAAGGGAGTCCCATCCCGGCCTGGTTCCCGAACCCTACACCCGCGTTCCAGTCAATAAAGAGTCCATGGCGCCCCGTCCCTGTCGATTATTGCCCAGCGGGCGGTCGGCCGCGGTCAGCCCCACCCTGCTGTGATTGCCGGACAGATTCACAGCCGATAGGCACCGACACCTCTCGACTCGGACCGGCCACCGCTCGGCCGGTGTCTGATAGGATGCAGGGGTGTCTGATGAGAGGCTGATATCGGCCCGATCGCTGGTGATTGGTGATGGCAGGGGTGACGCACCCCGCGCCCCGTGTCTGGCCAGGGCGGCGCAGCCGGTAATCGAGGGATGTGATTGGTGGGCGGGGGGTTAAACAAGCCGACAGTGTTTTCACGCTCCGAGTTACTGATGACCGGCTATCAATTGTTGGAGTGTTTAGCGGGGTTACGCTCGGGCCGGTTGACCTTTTGCGTTTGTCGGTGTCTCTCAGCGTATCACGTCGGAGATCTTTATCTTACCAGAGCAAAGTAATTGAATCAGCATCGTTTAGATTATCAGCATTCTAGCGGAAAACGTAATTTATTTTTGATGGGGTTTCCGCACCGCTGCGTATGCGTGTTGAGCTATCTCGGCGACAGGGCTATCTCGCGACTGGGTGGGCTGGCGGCAGGCGAGGGTGTTTTTTTTTTCTGATAATAATTTCATTGCACTATCCAACTTGGCGGCAACGGTGGCAGAGGATTTGGCTTGTTACTGAAGACCGCTCCCGGTCCCCGCCGTGAGCCGGTCTACCACGCCCATCGGAACGTCTGGCTGCAGGCTCCGGGCGCCGGAGTTTGGCCGTAAGGCTCAACGAGGACTTCATGAGGTGCCGCGCCCCAGGGATGGCGCTAGCCGCGGTGCTCGAATATCGAGTCGCTAGTTGCGCTATTATAGCCAGTAACTAGCTATCACCGATCCATGGACCATGCATGCAGATTGCAGATCCATCAGTTTGACAAACTCTCGATAAAAATACAATGATAGGTAGGTAGGTATATCCTCGTCCCTCAGCAGTAAACTCACTTTCATGCTACCAGTTATCTGTGAACTGCCATGCAATATGTGCCATCCATTTGGCACTAGCTTTACCGACGAATGAGTGCTCGGCCGGCGCCGCACCGAACGCACTCACCACTGACGAAGGTGCACTCACAGACGCCGAACGCACTCAAAGATTTTACTTCCGCTTTTCTTCATTTGGCTGCACAGTCGTGCTGCCAACAAGCAGCTAAATGTCAAGGTCATTTCTGTTATGATCTTGACGCGTGTGTGTTCTTGAGTTGTTGCCGCGTTTTCAAATCGTATTCGTCTGCTGAATCAACGATTAAAGCAGCTATAAACACACGAATCGTGATGGACTTTTTCCTTTCGTCCCTACAGTCGAAGGTGAGTCGTAATAATGCGATTCCTGGTGTTTTGTTTTTCATTCTGAGACTGCGCCTAGCGTCGGCTGAGCGCTTCCATAAATGGACACGTGTTGACGCGTCTGACGGGTCGTCGACGTCGTGCCTCGTGGACGTGGCCTTCAGTCTGAAGATGAGTGTCGCTGATATTATGATGGACTATGATACTTATCCATATCGCGGGACCTAAATATTCATGACTGAGTAATGGGACGAAAGATGATCCATCTGCTTCCGTAATGTCTTCCGCCGACCATTATTTTGAACGCAAACGACATAGAACGAACCTCCGAACAATATCAGCATGTATTTTGTGCAAACGGCATTGACCTGAGGCCTGAGCTGTGTCTGAAAATACACGAAGTAGCAGTCCAACGTTCAAAGCTCACACTCAGCACAGAAGAATGCGAGAGATTGATTCAGATTAGCATGTCTGGAGCGGAAGCTGGCATTGCCATGAGTCCTTGCCAAAGATAACAACTACGCAAATCTTGGAGCTTCATGCGGCACAATGCACATTAGTCAGATCCTGCATGTCTCTCAAATCTTGCAACAGGTACCTACCCGACCCGGTCCTGCAACGGTCGGAGGCACCTTGACCCGCCTGCCCTCTGGTGGCGGACGGCCTCACTCCTGCCATCTGGCGGCGCCGGCCGGCGTCACCGCTAGCGGAGGAGGTCCCCGAGAGAAAGGGTTACCGCCGTGGCCCGGCGGTGGTCATTCGCTTACCGGCGAGGCTCGGGGGCTGACGTGTCTCTGTCCAGAGCCGTTTGGTGTTAGACTCTCGGCAGCTGACTGGACCCGACTCTCCGCCGGCCCGCGCTGCCCTCTGGTGAGGTCTGACCGCCGCGGCTGGAGGATCCTCCCACATGCGCCACTCACCGGCGCCGGCCGGCCCACAGTGAGTCGTCTGCGAACCTTCCATCGGTGAGTACCGAGCATGTGCCGGCCACGGGCCGCCGCTCTGGCCGCCCTGGCTATTCTCGTGACCTCCGCGCCCGTCTCAGCCACGGCTGTTTCCTCTACACTCACAGACACATACGCCGACGATTACTACGCCGAGTACAGCTTCGCCGGCGCGTTCGACTACCTGAACGAGCAGGACGTGGTTCAGTCCAAGCACGGTGTGGCGGTACCGGTGGGCGGCCGGCACGCGCTGGATCCTGTCACCGAGCTGTCTCTATGGGTACCTCCTGATGACCGGTGTCGGGTGAGAGTGATATCCCCACCGGCCGGCAGAGCGCCGGGCCGTCTCGAACCGGACGAGTTTGACTGTGAGTTCGATGCTGGTGAGGTGGTGTACACGCACTACGGCGCGCCGCTGCCTGAGCGGGATCGGTTGACGCTGCTGGTGAGATATGACTCGGCTGAGGATACAGCCATCGTTCCGCTGACTCTGGAGCTGAGTTTTACCCATGCCGAGCGGACCATCGTACGTGAGCTGCTACCGCTGCTGGTAGACGCGCCCGGCGGTCTCTCGCCACCCCTCGGACCGCAGCATATACGGCTGGAGGTAGAGGACGGCGAGCGGTGTGAACTGACCCTAGTGGAGGGGCTCGGTCTGCCGCGGCACGGCGCGGTGGTCACTCAGCTCGGAGATGTCCGGCGAGTGACCTGTGATGACCTGCCCGCCGCCGGGATCCAGTACCGACACGGCGGGCCGACGGCCGGCGACCGGGACTTTCTGCCGCTGACGGCGGAGGCGCGCGCCGCCGACGGACGTCTCCTGCGCCGGGAGTACCTGCAGGTACCGATCCACATCGACGGCGGACTGGAGAACACCCCTCCGCGGCTGACCGGCGCCGCTCAGCCAACACTGGACGTGAGACAGAGTGCGCCGACGCCGCTGAGCGCCGCGGCGCTGCGGGCCGAGGACGACCAGACGCCGCCCGATCAGCTGGTCTTCAACGTGACCCGTCCGCTCGGCTACGGAGACGGAAGGTTGTTTTCTACTGACGACCCGGACGCACCGCTGCTCTCGTTCTTACAGCGTGACTTGACCGAACTGAAGGTGAGCTACCAGCCTCCGAGTGGACGCTCTCCGCGCCGACGCACCTTCCAGCTAGGCCTACAGGTGGTGGACGGAGACGGACTCGCCTCAGAAGAGGTCACTCTGAGTATCGTAGTGCACCCAATTAATACACGCTCGCCGGTGGTCACCCGTAACACGGGTCTGTCCATGTTCGAGGGACAGAGCCGGCGGCTGCTGAGCGCGACTAATCTGGAGATTACTGACGAGGATAACCTGGCTGATGTGACGGTGGAGGTGGTGGGAGGTCTGCGACACGGTCAGCTGCTGCTGCTCGGTGCTGAGGTCGTCCGATTCTCCCCGGCTGACCTCGACACGGGGCTGATTGTGTACCAGCATGATGGAAGCGACACGACGAGTGATAATGTTTTACTGCGCGCCTCAGACGGCGAGAGTGAGGTGCTGTTCGTTCTGGCCGTCACCATCTTCCCTGAGGATGACCAGCCGCCGCTGGTGACGGCCAACACTGGTCTGACGGTCCACCGCGGACAGCAGCTGCTGCTGACGCCCCGGCTTCTGGCGGCTGCTGATGTGGATAGCCCCGAGAGGCAGCTGGTGTTTGAGCTGACGGAGACGACGCCGGAGGGCGGGGAGGGTGTGTTTCTGCTGAGAAGTGCGACTAAGGACAGCGCTGCTGGGAGCTCCGACTGGAGATTAGTGGATGGGATGTACGAGCGAACTGTCACCTCCTGGAGTCAGGCTGATCTGCAGGACGGTCGGGTCTTCTATCGGCACACCGGCCCGCCGCGACAGGACGCTCACACGGCACGGGTGGGGTTCACAGTCCGTGACGACGCCGACCCGCCGAACCGTAGCGCGCCGCAGACTCTGACCGTGACTGTCCTACCGGTGGATGACACGCCCCCTGCACTGACCCCCGGCGCCTCCCTCTCCATGGTGGTGGATGAGGGTCGTCTGAAGCCGATCGATCGCGCCGCGCTCAGCTACTGGGACGCAGACTCGCCGCCGGACCGGGTGCTGGTGGCTGTCACAGGTCCGGCTCGAGAGGTGGACGGCGTGCGGCCGCCTCCGGCCCCGGGCGGCCCGCCCGCCCCGCCCGCCGGCTACCTCGTTCTCACCGAGAGACCAGAACAGCGCGTCACCAACTTCACACAAGCGCAGGTGAACCATCATAAGGTGGCGTTTCGACCGACAGAGGCTGAGCTTGGTTTGGTGCCACGTGTACTGCAGCTCCCGTTTATTGTGATGGACTCTGCCGGTAACACGCTCCGTGATCAACTCCTGACCGTGTTCGTGACACCTGTTGACGACCTGCCCCCGCGTGTGACTAGTCACGGTCTGAGTGTACCTGAGAACGGCGCGGCCGTCATCTCACCAGCGCTGTTGGACGCTCATGATGAAGATACACCAGAGGAGGAGCTACGATTTACTCTGACTGCCGGGCCGCGGCACGGAGCTCTTAGCGTTCACGGACGGAATATGACAATCGGCGAGCAGTTCGGTCGACTCAGTCTAGCTACCGGAGAGGTGGTATACCTCCATGACGGCTCTGAGGGCTCTGAGGATCGGCTCGAGTTTGAAGTCTCTGACGGATTGCGTAGCGTGCCGGCTGTGTTTCCGATAACGGTGACGGCCGTGGACGACCAGCCGCCACGGGTACTGACCGGAGAGGTACGGATTACGGTACAGGAGGGTGGCGGTGTGCCGCTGACAGCTGAGCTACTGCCGGCCGCTGACGCTGATTCAGACCGCTCGCTGCTGACATTCCTGATCACAGATAGACCGGAGGAGGGAGTGGTTACTCTAGACGATGAGGAGACGGACCGGTTCACCACCACTGACCTGGACCGCGGTGCTGTGGCGTACCAACACAGCGGAGCAGAGATCGGGCCTCTGCCCGTGTTGGACTCCTTCTCCCTGACTCTGACCGACCTGAGCAGCGAGGCTGCCGACCACATCACCGTCTCCGTCACCGTGGAGCCGGTGGACAGCCAGCGGCCGCAGCTAGTGGCTGCTGACGGAGCGCTGTATGTCGACGAGGGCTCGTCAGCGCCGCTGCCGCCCGAGCTGCTGTCTCTGACGGATGCCGACACGCCGACAGACCAACTCAGCTGTGTGCTGACGGAGCGGCCGAGGGTTGGTTACCTGGAGAGCAGCTTGCCGCGGGCTGGATCGGAGGTGCGTCGTGCTGGTCCGGTAACTGCGTTCACGGCTGATGAGTTGGAGACTGGCGCTTTGCGTTATCAGCAGTCGGTCCACCAGGGCGTGGAGCCACGAGCGGACAATCTCACCGTGATCTGTTCAGACGGCGTGGGTTCATCGCCACCGGCTACCGTCCGAGTCATCATCCGTCCTAGCAACGACGAGCCCCCGCGGCCGCTACTGCGTGAACTGGTGGTGCTCGAAGGAGGTGACCTGGTAATCGACTCGACTCTGCTGTCGGCTGCCGACGCCGACCTGCCGGCTGATCAGCTGACCTTTCAGGTCACGGCGCCGCCACAACACGGCAGGCTGCTGTTACACGGAGAGCCAGCCCGCTCCTTCACCGCCGACGAGCTGCGCGGACAAATGGCACTCGTATACTCACACGATAACTCCGAGACGACTTCTGACGGGTTTGACTTCCGACTAGAGGACGGCCATGCAGCTCACGCAGTCGAGGGACGCGTCACGGTGCGTGTGGTGCCTGTGGATGATGAAGTGCCCACTCTGGCGGTCAACCGTGGCCTGCGCGTGTCTGTGGGAGGCTCAGTGACTCTCTCATCCCGTGAGCTGCGCGCCGCTGACCTGGACACTCCGGTAGAGAGGCTGCTGTTCGTGATACGCACCCCGCCGCGGCACGGTACGCTAAGCCTGGCCGGCGTGGCACTCGGAGTCGGTGACAACTTCACACAGCCGCAGCTCGACTCCGCCGCGCTGCGCTACACTCACGCTGGCGGCGACACATCAGCCGAGGACGTGATTCGCTTCGACGTCAGTGACGGCACGAACCTGCTGCTGGACCGGCAGCTGACGGTGACGGTAACCGGCGGCGACCGCGCGTACCCTCGCGCGCTGAGCCGCGGCCTGCAGCTGCCCGAGGGCGGCACGGCCGTGCTCACCACGGACGTACTCAGCAGCAGCGACGACGACAGTGACGACGCGCGGCTCGAGTACAGGCTGACACGGCCGCCGCAGAGGGGCCACCTGGAGCTGGCCGGCAGCCCGGGACAGCCGCTGACCGGCTTCACGCAGCTGCAGCTGGCTGCGGGACGGGTGCGCTACGTGCATCACGCACAGCATGAGGAGAGAGCCGACAGCTTCGAGTTTGCCGTCAGTGATGGTGTGCATGCCGTGGCGCGGGCGTTTCGCATCTCTCTGCTACCGGTGGATAACAAACGCCCGGTGCTGTTCAAGGAGGAAGTTCGAGTGCCGGAGGGTTCTGAGCGGACGATCACACCATTCGAACTGAAGCTTGACGACCGAGACACCCCGTCGGAACATCTCCTGTACCGCGTGGTCGAGCCGCCGCTTCACGGTCGCCTGCTCTTCAACCACAGTCGACCGGTACGCGAATTCAGCCAGTACGACCTCGACTCCAACATGATCTCATACCGGCACAGCGGAGGCGGCTCCGACGGTCACCGGGCCCTCTCCGACCGGTTCCGGTTCGTGGTGTCAGACGGGGCCGACGGAATGTACTACGTGTACCCGGAGACGGCGCGAGGTACCCGGCTGCCCACCCAGCTGGATATCCGGGTGTTAGCTGTGGACTCCCGCCCGCCTGCGGTACAGGCGTCCCGGGCGGTGACGGCTCTGCACGCGCTGCCCGGCGGTCGGCGGGGTGTTCGACTGGGCTCGACACACCTCCAGTTCAGCGACCCGGACTCGGAGGGCGAGCAGCTGATGATGGAGGTGACGGCAGGACCGGAGAGCGGCGCCCTGGTCGACCTCAGCACCAACCAGACCGTCACCAACTTCACACAGGGTGAGAGACACAACGGCCGCGGCGGTGGAACGTAGTAACTACTAGATGCAAGACCAAGGCCCTAAATACATACAAAGACGAAGAAATCGAGTAACATATATAATTTGAAACGGTTATCTAAATAGCTACGTAACCTATTGCCTTGTGTACTGAAACGACTAGCTGAACCATATCAAACGCCTCTGTGCACTGTGCAGTGATCTTTGATGTGTTTCACTTGGTCCCAGATTTACAGCACATTATCCTTCCTACAGGCTACAACCGTCTGTCAGGAATTACCGAAAGGCATCCAAACAATTCAGCATCCTCCGTTATCCCATCCCAACCCACCATACTCACCCACCCATGGTCCGCTACTGGGCGCTAGTAAATTAATCGGAGCCGCTAACTGCTTCTCAGAGGGCGGCCTTGTTTTACAACTGTCCAGTAAACAACACCAGTCGGTCGGGCTCATTTACACCCCCGCGATGGAGAGATGCTGATCAGACTCCATCTCCCACTGACCGCTGTCGTAGCGATAAGATCGGCCGCTCGCACCTCGGCACCGGCGCCGATCACTGGGTTCGGGTAATGAGTGTCAAACGGTTCCCAGCGTGGCCCGCCCCCTGCTGATGTGGTCAGCTGAGACGGGCCCGCCCCCATCTGATGGTATTGAACGGCCCGCCCCCCTAGCTGATGGCATGGGCCCGCCCTCCGTAAATGGTCCGGCAGCCTGGGCCTCGTTTCATAAAGTGAGTCCGTAACTTACGCCGGTTTTTGGTTTTGTATTGCAAGTGCATGTGAAGAGATGACGATGGTTTGAATCGTTGAATTTATTTATCTTGCAAGCAAGAACAGAAGGGAGAAGGGGAAATAAATTTATCGCTTCACGTGCGCTTGCAATACAAGCCCAAAAACCGGCGTAAGTTACGGACTCGCTTTATGAAACGAGGCCCTGGTCGCTCGTCCCGACTAACCGGCCGGTCAGAGGGTTGAACACGTCACACATGCCAAAGGGTTCCCGCTGATCAGCGGTGCTCCGTTCCTGCCGGGAGCAGTTACATATCCCGCTGTGATTGGTCTCAGGCTCAGCCCGCCCGGCGCGGGAGCCACTCTGATCTCACCGGGCATTAATCGGCCCTCGTTGGGGCGGAGCGGACCGGCCGGAGTGATATTGGGAGGTGGGAGTCAAGCATCCCACCGTATAACGTCCCCTATTTACCTGTTTCATTTCCATCTCACTAGACCTCTGCTTCATGTTTCGGACCATAGCATGCAATAGTCTTTTTTTCTGATTCCTGATCCGGTTTGTTTTCCCCAATGAGTTAACTCAGTTAAACATAATCCCTACATGACTGAGCCTATACCATAAGACGTCAACAGCCTTTCCCACCGTGCGGACTTTTTACTCGCCGTCTTCCGTATCGAACCGTTGATTTACCGTATCGTATAATACCAGCCGTCCCCCTCCCCACACCGGCGGCTCACCGGTTGCCCATTCGAAATACAATTGAATTACCGATTGTACCGGGCGGCGGATCCATCACATCCCGCTGCAGTACGTTAAACAAACAACTGAACAGTGATACTCGGCGGGTGAGCCAGCGGGAAACTGGCGGGGAGGCGGAAGGGCTGGCGCCGCATACCTGGCATACCTCGCACCTTGGCAGGCCAGTGTAACGCTCCTTTGATGGGACACCTGGCCATTCCTTGACCATTGTCTGATCATTGATTGTTGACCGTAAACCATAACACCAATCTGACCCCGAACTAGCCTGATCTGACCTGACCTAACCGTAACCCTGACGCGCTCGCATTTCCTCTGACAGGGAAGCTACACCGTCAGGAGGTGGCCTACGTTCTGACCGAGGGGCCGAACGTTACCGGCATCTACAGGGATAGCTTCGTCTACAGTGTGAGGGACACAGGTGAGTGCATAGCAAACAGCGTCGTCCATAGTGAAAGACACAAGCGGGAAACCGTGATGGAAGTGGTCCGTGCCCAATACGGCGATATTTTGCATACTCGTATGCTCGTAAGTCGTATGTATGACTGCATGGTCGTGCTTTCGATGCCAGCACAGACAATCTCACAGATCTATTTGCTGCGTCCGTTGAGGAATATTTGTAGCACTGTCTTTTGTAGCTCGGCCCTCACAAATTGAACAAGCCGAGGTGTTCTCATGCATGAAATTTACATTTAGATCAGTTCATGAAGGCAGCGTCGGTAAGAGTCAGGGAATACGCGCCTTTAAAAACCAATAGGACCACCAAATCGAACCGATGATTCTCGTATTCAAAGGTCGATGGTGTTATGATCAGCATTCATGATTCCATGCCATTCGTAGAAGACAGTTACATTACTCTTTGTACCTGAGTTGAAGACTACTCGTATTTGCTGTTGATTTGATGCCCGATTTGTGAAACGATTTCCATTTCCAGAACCTTTGACGGCCTCTGTTTACCGTGAATGTTCATCTTCGGATCCCATCTTGGATCTTACAAACCAAAATCACTTTGTACTGAACCACCCTGCCTGCGACTCAGAGTCAGATCTCAGACCACGTAGTGTGTATAACTGCCTTCTCTTGAGCAGTCTTGCGCTGGTCCCATCTGTTTAGTCGTGGTCGATTTGATTCTGTATGATATACACTATATCTGACCATTCATTCGTCCATCGTCTGTGACTCTCTACTCTCTCTGCTCTCTCCCGGCAGCCGGTAACGTGGTGCGTGACCTGACCTTCAGCCTGACCTGGTCTTGGGTCACCCTGGCCGCCGCCCGGTACCAGACCAACGAGACAGAGCCGCAGCTGGTGGTGCGTCTCAACAGGACTGGTTACCTCGGCGGAACGTCCTTCGTCTGTGAGTCACGGAGAGGGAGATGACTAAACGACCGCACCCTGGAGCCTGAGACGACTCTAGTACTAGAGTATCATGTGCCTAACCTCCCATTATGATTGCTTCTCGGTTATTATTATCCCGTTGTCCTCTTTTTGTCAACACGAGCTGGCATGAAATAATCAAATGTATTGAAATATTTTGAAACAGTTCGCAGTGCCCATCCAACCGAATTAATGCTGTCTTCGTGTCGTCTGCCTAAATCCCCGGACCCTGCTACTAACCGCCCTCTACCCTCCACCGTCCGGCAGCGGTGGCGCTGGAGAACGGCACTGCCACGGTCGGCGCCGACTGCAGCGCCACCTACGCCGCCCAGGTGCAGTTCTCCCCTGGCCAGAACAGCGCCGAGTGGCGACTTCCTCTCCGCGACGACACACAGTTCGAGGGTACAGAGACGCTGCTGCTGCGACTCTCCCAGCCCGTGGAGGCCCTCCTGGGGGCGATCGGCGAGGCACAGCTGGAGATAAACGATTATGAGGATGGTAAGGTTGGATACAGGACACAAAACAGCGGAGCCTAGAGATGCGGGCATGGTAGGAATGACTGAGTCTAAAATAGTTCATTTGTCTGTCCGCCCGACATAGGCCTGATTTCAGATAGCTGCTTTGAAATTTAAATTAGTAATGCGTGTTTTATTGCCGTTCCTCACACACCGCTCATACTTGAAATGTTGTGATCCGGTGCTTACTGCTGATGTGTTTGATTGCACTGTCTGACCACTGCAACTTGTTTCTTTGGTGCATTTCAGAGTCGGTGGTGTATTTCCCCGTCTCGGAGGTGCGGGTGGAGGAGAGTGCCGGTACGGTAGAGGTGGCCGTGGAGAGGGCCGGAGACCTCAGCCAGGAGCTCACCGTCCTCTGCGTCACCAGAAACGGTGAGACCAGGCGGCGTAGAGAATGCCTCCACTCCACGTCAACATACAATGTTGTGGCATTCTCTCCTCAACAAAGAACTCAGACATGAACATTACAAATGTTTCTCCCGAGGTGCTAAAGGGGTATGTTGTTTAACATTTTTTTTTTTGCATGCATTCAGATGCATGTGTGCGGTGTGCAGTTTATTCAAAAGAGACCATTTATTTATTTATTTATTTATTTATTTCACATCATCAGGTATTTCCACACTAAATGGGCTATTCCAATACCCTCGTCATACAATGTAACACCGCACGGTATAAAAAAAAGTTATAAAAAACACACACACATCTTCATGAGAACAAAATCGCGGACACTTAAAATAAACTAACTAGTCACGAAAAAAAATCACGATGCATCAGCCAACATTTTGCGAATGTGGCGCTTAAAAGAAGTCATGCTAAGGTGGTTCACATGATGATCTATGGCGAATGTGTTATACAATTTGGATGCACGATAGATGAATGTACGTTTTCCATGGTTGTTGCGGGGGCGAGTGGTTGAAATATGATCCGACTGCCGTGTTCTTCGAGAGCTTGATTCATGATTAAACAACAGTGCTTCACGCAATCCTATTGGTACGTCCAGCGATAAAATTTTATGAATCATGCACATGTCAAAATAGTCAACTAGCTTTGGAATAGTGAGCCAACCTAAGTCTGAAATGACATCCGAAACATGGTCGTATTTCCGTCGACCGGAAATAGCTCGTGCTGCGAAGTTGACTATTTTTTTTTTTTGCAGCACTTTCTTTCATGCTGTTAAAAGGCTACCTTCTTAATGAAATCTGATCTCTCGCTCCATCCCCAGACACTGCCGGCGGCACGGTGGGCGGCTCGGTGCTCTCGGGCGCCGACTTCCTCTCGCGGCCCCCTGCTGCGGACGCCAGTCGGGTGACACTGGCCCCCGGCGCCAGCCGCGCACTGTGCCCCGTCACCCTCATTGATGACGCCCGGTTCGAGCCGGAGGAGAGCTTCTGGCTGGAGCTGCGGGAGCCGCGCGGCGGCCGGCTGTCCGACCACCGACACCGCGCCGCGCGAATAATCGTCTTTAGCGACGACGACGACGGTCAGTGGTGGGGAGAGGCCGGTCATAGGTCGCCGCTAGGACGCCGGACTGATCTAACGGATTGTTTTGTAAAGCTGCTGAAGTTAACATATGGAGTGAATTCGGGGCGTGGATGGTGCTTGTTTTTTTTTTATTCAGGAAATAGCCAGCAACTTGTCGATAACCTTTTGGAGATTAAGATTACACCATGTGTCTATTGAAGTTCAATTGAAATAGAGGACAAATGTATCGTATCCATTGAGGTTCACTTGAAATAGAGAACACATGATACTGATGAAATGATGCTGAAATGATGCTGAAATACGATACTGATGCACTTACACGAACGTAACAAGTGATATGCGACAATAGATATGCTCTGACTACCTGAGGCTGACTAGCGATGCCGTTTTTCAGCGCCGTACTTTCATTTCGGCCAGCCGACTCTGACCGTGGACGAGGCTGTCGGTGTGGTGTCGGTACTGGTGTTCAGAGCGGGTACTGACCTGAGCGGTCCGTCCGCCGTCACCGTCACTTCCAGGGGAGGAGAGGCGCCCAGTGCTACAGGTAGGTTATGGAGAGGCGCCCAGAGCCACAGGTAACTAGGATAGGAGGAAAGGTGCCCAGAGCTACAGGGTAGGCTAGCAGGACCGTATCTTGTTTGGAGGACCGCTTAAGCTTTTTATTTTGGCATCGGCTATCCTTTCGGCGCTATCTATACTTGAGGGAACGAACTGATTAGATTATAACCAGTTTTTCTCTCAACGGAGCACGAACTGCGGACGGCTGGTAACGATGTTGTCACGTTTATTTCATTCACAATTCACATGTCAGACAGTAGATCGATGAGATCTAACTCCTCGTCCTTCCTATACACACAATTAGGACTGATTGTTTCTCTCCAACACACTCAGCCGGCGAGGACTACCGCGCCATCAGTGAGACGCTGCAGTTCGACCCTGGTCAGACTCAGGCCACCGTTCAGCTCCTGGTTCTCGACGACCCGGGCCGACCGCGCCGCGAGGGACCCGAGCACCTTCAGCTGCTGCTTCGGCTGCCGACGAACGCCACCGTCGGACGGCCCGGCACCCTCAACGTCACCATTGACGACTCGGAGAGCGACCGTGAGTGGGAATGGGCACTGTGGATGATGGAAAGGGTAGCCTGGGAGGGGGGAGGGGGGCAGCCTATAACTGCCGCAGAGTCAAGGTTTACAGTGCGCTTTTTAAAGCTTAGCATCACAACACCTGGGCAACACAATGCCGCCACATGTGCATTATCAAAAGATACATATGTCAGTGCCGCCGCTATGTACCCTGGCCGCTACCATCCGATCCCCGTTGAGGGGCTCCGCTCACCCCTCTCTGGGTCAGACCACGTGACCCGTCCGGTGCGGGTCACTTGGCCAATCAACGCCTGCCACACGCACCGCACGAGTGCCGGCCACAGGCAGCAGCCTGCAGCGGGCGGCGATCGACAGTAGACAGCCGGCAGATGACGACCCCTTACGATGACATGAGTCATGACAGATGACAGTTGTGATAATTACAGTTGGGGAACTGTCAAGAATATGCTGCCATGTGTCGATGCGTTTTTTACTTTTTATGCCTGTGTTGTGCAGTATGCAATGTGCAATACGAATTGACATAGTGAACTGACCTCTCCACCGCCGGTAGTACCTACTCACGCGTTCGCCGAGGACTCGTATTCGGGGTTCGAGGAGGACGACCAGGTGACGGCGTACGTGGTGCGTGGCGGTGACGTCACTATGACGTCATCTGTGCGCTGCTACACGCGCCAGGGCTCGGCCGAGGCTGGCGCCGACTTCGAGGAGCGGCCGGACACGGACGCCAGTAGGCTAGAGTTTGCGCCAGGTTCGTAGGTGATTCGCCCGTGGGATAGCGTTCGCTTGTGAAACGGGCGGGCACATTGCTGAAGTCAGCCCGTCACAGTTTGTGGCAAACACAAGGGAGCAGATGGGCTTCATGTATGGTTTTACACATCTGGGATGTTTGAATTGTTTCGTATTCACGACCGTTACAACTTGCAACGGTAGCTTTTGTGACTGCATTTCCGTCGTTTCGTCATGCTCAGACTGTTAGGGTGCCTCCCTGCCGGTCTATCCGAATTTATTCGAACCTTGCTTCATTCATTTGTGGACGCCTATTTTTTCTGGTACAACAGGAAAGTGCAAAAGCAGGCATTTATTTTGAGGTTTCTTCGGTCCTCGAATTTGAAAACACTTGTCAGTTGAACACGGTACCGAATAACCCATGAACACAGATATCCTCACAGGGCCGATGACGCTGAACTAAGCGACATTCCTTTAATAGTTAATACTGTACCGACAACTGACCCCTGTTCCCCGTCTTTCTCCTCAGGAGAGACGGAGAAGCCTTGCCCGGTGATCCTGATCAACGACCACACCCACGAGTCTGCCGAGACGTTCCGTCTGGCACTGGGGGAGGCGCGCGCCGGCGGCGGCGGCCCGGCGCTCCTGGGACCCAGGAACACCACGGAGGTCACCGTGCGTGACACGGCTGACAGTGAGTGGAAGGGGTGTGGGAGTCACGGGACAGGGGGAGGGGGGGGGGGGGGAGACGAGATCTAGGAACACCACGGAGGTCACCGTGCGTGATACGGCAGACAGTGAGTGAAGGGGGTGTGGGAGTCACGGGACAGGGAGGTGGCACACGGAGTGGGCAACTGACACGGAACGTCGGGTTGTCACGCCTGGGAGACTGACAAATTTGTCAGGGAATCTCCACACATTCCCGAATTAAACGCAAACGATGATAGCTTTTGACATACGGGATGGAAGGGACAGGAGGGCAGCCATACAGCTGGTAGCTGGCGGTATCGACTTGAGTAGTTGGGACAAAATGGTCCGACTGACCGGCTGGATTCGGACTGGCGCACGAATTACGGGTAGTGTTTGCCATAGACAGGAAGGTGGCGACTGACTTTTTTTTTCCTCAGGGGCCCGGGCGGGGATGACACACGGACGGAGACTCACTCGGCTGATAAAAGTATGACATATTACTACAGGACTTGTTGCACACGAGTAGATAGGCAGTGACCCACAGGATATGATTGTGATTTTGCGCCATACGGGACTTTATATTGTGTATAAAATCATCACTGGCAGTTGAAGTTCCGTTATTTCTCGTCCGATATACCGCGAGAGGCCAGCTGAGCGGTAGCCTGGGGGAGATTTGGTTTTTAGTCCCGTTATTTTATTTCTAGCACGATGGTGTGCCATGCCGTCTATCTGCTATGCAGAGCGAGATATCGCGGGTTATATCCACCCTTCCTATGCAGACGGCTGTTCAACATACTGACGAAACGGTGTATGTTTACAATTGAACAAGGAAATACTGGAGCAATCTCAGACACGGCTTCAGAGCGTGTTTGCTGAAGAGGCGAACAGCGTTTGCATTGGATTATTTGAGAGCTTCTCTATCAGGTGCGCGGCGATACAACATTGTAAACACTCGTGCTAAGGCTGCCATAAGCCATGTGTATACGGTGTGCTGAGTATGCAGATTGTTATTTCATCATTCAGAATGTCGATACTCCAGTCTGTTCCTTCGTGTATTCATGTTCTGAATAAGGCAATATAATCACGCATCATGTGGCGTGATGTGTTAAATTAACTCTAGGAAGTTTAAACATGCATGCCTACGTTTTTACCACTTGTCTATTTCCGGTGTAAGAATTTACATCTGTCGCATAGTGTCAGTCTCACAGTCTCGTCCGATCTCTTTCCCCTTGCTCCGTACTGAACTGACTCTCTCTTAACCTCTCTCTCTCTCCCTCCTCTTTCTCCCACAGTACCTCTGATCAAGTTCGAGTCGCGCCGTGTGCGGATCACCGAGCCAACCAGCGCTCAGGAGCCGGTGGCGGCGCGGGTGGCCGTGGTGCGACTCGGGGACCTTAGCGGCGCCTCTGTCGTCAGACTGTACACCAGAGACGGCTCGGCACGCGCCGGACAGGACTACCATGGCGTCTCCAGAGGTGAGAGACGGGGAGGGCAGCGGAGGAACGCGATATACTATAGTGGAGCACAGGGCCGCCGGGGTGGATAGTGGATTATCATGACACTCTCCATTCTCCAGTATAAAAGCTGACAGGCGGGAGATAAAAAAAAAACAAGCGAGAGATCACTGTGTGAATAGCGGCCGGCGGAGGGAGAGGTTACACCCAGTCCCAGGTAACAGGGAACCGCCGGCCATATGACAGGGTTTCTAGATGTAAAACATGGGAAACTGGGGGAGGGGGCATGACACACCCTTCCACCGGCATTACTTTGACTTCCGAGTTTGTACATACCTAGCGGCAAAACTTACGGTGTATACAACCGTAGCTCAGTTGGTAGAGCATTGGACTCCCGGTAGTGAGAGCCCGGGTTCGAGACGCTCCGGCGCTCGATATTTGAGACTCCTGACGGGGATGGTCTGCGGTTGGTGGGAGCAGCCGCAGCCAGTTGAAGTCAGTTGAGTGGGACAGGCCGTGTCCGGCTTTGAAGGGCACGTTAAACTTTGGCATCTAAATTCTCCCGTTACCCGGAATTGCGCGATCGGACGGTAGGGGTCGGGGTCTACGCAACAAGCTCTGCTGCTTAGCGTGGGCTCCGGCTCTGTCAATCCGTCCATTCAAACATTCGAGCTAAGTTTATAAAAAAATACAAATTTCTAGGATTAAAAAATGTATCTAACGCTAGAACTTCGTGGGCACGAGATTGCATAGCAACTCTGTGCTGAACGGAAATGCCTATAAGTTCGGGGTAAGCCGAGCCATCAAACTACATTTACTATCAGCGATCGTCTCTTGCGGTTCACCTCTAATCTACGGCAAATGAGGAAAGTGACGCCTCTTCAACCGATAACTTGTACCTATGTATAGTTCAATGCAATGCCAGTACTTGAACAGGAGGAGGAAAAGGTGTCAGACAGATGGGGGGGGGGGGGGAGGAGGCAAAAGGTGCGCGCAGAATATATAGAACAAGGTGCGCGCGGCGTGGTGCGGTCTAAAATGGGTGTCGATGCGTCGAATTACCTACCTTTACGGCGACTATCGACAGTTTTAAGTGAAATTGGTTAGTTCTATTTTCGATGGTCCTAAACGAGGCTCATTGGGTCATGTTGGCTTGATGCTGGCGATCCAAAGTGATTAACAATAATTAATATTGAGTAATGAGCGGATAATTAGATAAATTTTCCTTAGTTTACAGCGTGGCAGAGGCAGCTAACCGGCCGTCCCAGTGCTATTGACCGCAGTTTCTATGGGGTGATGACCCCTGCAGCTATGAATAACTCACACATAGTTCGGTCAGTGCCCACTGTTGGTCCTGATCCAGAAGCCGGACCTCCCGCCCGAGTATCAGATAGCCGCTCTATTGATCCCAGCGCACTACATTCCCATATAGTGGGTATGTGCGTGTGTCCTTCATCAACACACAAATTCCCCCGATCAATACGGGCCGGACCTGAACCCCTAGCAACTGACCGGTCGGTGTCAACGTTAGCGACACTTATTAGTGCACGCATCGGGCGACGCGCTAGGGTAGCGCGGTGGGCCCGTAGGAACACGAAACAAGGGACTATGCAGTGCCCCAGGCCGGCTGTCCGCTTGGTGTCCCAGCAGCCGTGGTAAACAGACTTCCAGTAAACATGTAGTAGACCCGCGACCCTTTTATGGTCTGTTGGCTCTGTTCAGTCAAGTTGGTCGGTTTTATAGACTAGCTGAGCGGTGGAGTGGTCAGTTTCGTTTGATGGTTATTGTCCTAGTCACAAATCAATGGTGACATTCAGCGTAGGGCAGCAGACCGTTGGGATTCTGTTCGTCTTTGTATATTTCATCACACCAGGCGCTAAAGCGACAGTACAAAATCACAACACAAATGTCTCAGGGGGTCGCCTTCGGGAACAACCCAAAAGTGTGGTAGTTAGCAGAAATTAAAGGCATGCCCTGATTCCCTGATTTTTGTGTAGGTATGCTTACTTCCAAAACGACAGACGCCACACATAAAAACGTATGTAAACTGTTCAAAGACTTCAACACGAATATCCAACAAAATACCATGGGCCAATCGCGCTCTATTTTAGCACAACGCACATGCATTTTTTATTCTAATTTTAGTGCATAACAATTAAAGCGAGACTACGCCCTGCAACTCGATGGAGGAGCCAAAAACTCTTTTTAAATATTTCAGAATATCGTTTTCTTCCGATAGTAACAAAAACGAGCCAAACATAGATCAGAAATTCTTCCAAAGTTTGGGATTACTGAAGCCTCTTTGTACCAACTTCCCAACATGGGAAACATTCACGGGCATAGCTTAGCTTTAAAGCAGATAAGGCTGGGCGAATTTTCGCACGTGCGTAAGCCCCATTCCCCACACTGCGGCAGTCCCAGTGGCCCCCTCCCCCCCCCCCCCGGCGGTGGTCGGTCCATCCCTGCAGTGCCGGCGATCCCGCCTAGTTCCCGGCGAGCTGGTCGAACACGGCCTTGGTGGGTCCCTTGCCCTGGACGACTGAGCGCCCGTCGCGCTCCGCCACCGTGCCGTCCGCTCTCAGGAACACCAGGGTCGGAATGCCGCTGACCTGGAACTCGGTTTTCAGCTGCTGCGCGGCCGGACTGCCGTGCGGCACCGCCAGCCACTCGCCGTGCGCCTCGTTCATGTAGGCGGCCATGTCGGCCGGAGATCGGTCCGACGAGACGAACACCACCTCCAGCTCACAGCCGGCCTCCAGCAGCGCCTCGTAGAAGTCCTTCAGCACCGGCGTGAACATGCGGCACGGAGGACACCAGTGCGCCGAGAAGTAGATACCGATCACCTTCTTGCCGGCGAGAGCCTCAGAGCCGGCGACGAGGCCGCCAGAGGCTCCCTTCTGCAGCTGGGTCGACTTCAGAGTGTCCATGGCGAGCTGTTGGTCAGACGGTGGGGCGGGGAGATAGTCAGAAGCTGCTATGCGCCCTAAGGAAATGCCAGAGGCGAAAAGCCGTCTGGACGCCTAGCTGAGAATGGGGGAAGCCCCGGACGGCTGTGCGACGTATAGAGATCAGCGGCAGACGGAGCAAGTGGGGATTACATCAGCGCATCACAAACCGGTCACAGGGGCAGTGATGGGCACGGGAGAGAATGGGACATCTTGGCGGTCACAGAAGCTGGGTGACGCAGCGGACTAACCGCCGATCTGGGGCGAATATTCCCGAACGGCAAACCGGCAAGTCATGCTGCCGAGTCTCCGGACGCCGGTAAACGGGCGTGACGCCCCCGCACGGGCCGATCACGGAAGGAATACCAAGACCGGTCAGCCGAGCGGTCACGGGGTCCGTGACCAGGTCCGACAGGGTCGTGATTCACGGGGCAGTGAACTCCACGACTCACGACGTGCCCTCACGGCAGACTACGCACCGGCGGGCGAACCGGTCGTGGGGTGGGTCTGCTCGGCAGGAGGGGATGGGGATGGAGACGGTCGTTGGACGAGAGGGCGTGTCTGTCCAGAAACCAACGAAAAACGGACACTACGCCTTACCGGCATTTCTGATTCGACCACGTGGTCGTGGAGACATAGCTAAGCTTCGGTTCGGAGCCTGCGAATAGAACGGTGACACGTTTCCTTGGCGGGAAGTTGCACACCCTCGTTACCATTACGCAACGATACGTGGCATTGCCGCATTGGGGCGCTGATGCCGGTTTGCTGATTCGGAATATATTCCGTATCAGCAAACCTGCAAACCTATAGGTTTGCTTCTACTGTTGAATTAAAGGGACTATCCCACCTTTAACATGGGATTTGAGTTGAGATAGCCAAGTTTGCGGCGAGGTTCAGAAACCACTAATCTAGGTTGCAACCCCCGCGGCCTCTTGGTGTTGAAGAAGTTCGTTCCCTTCATTTGAAAATGGGCCTTGTGCAAGGCCCTATCTTCAACATGGAGCGACCGTTAGTGTGACGTCACCTCGTTTAGTCATTCTGATTTAAATGGGTTTGTTCGTTGAAAAATCACTTAAAACTTGGTCTGAACTTTGTTGTGGTGCCTACAGAGTAAAAAGAATCAGCTTTATGACAGTAATGTGGCCTGGGGAAGGAGGTAATTTTGGGCTGTGACGTCACATATTTGAAAGTTTGTGTTTGGAAAATGGGAAGCCTAAGATGTTAAATGAAAAACAAATGCCAGAACCGTGTTCCTGGTCATCCAATCTATAAAGTCGGGCACAATTTAACTGGTTTTAACAACATTTTAGAAGGTGGGATAGTCCCTTTAAAGTTTTCATCGAGATGGCAAAACGTATACTCTTATATAACGCACAATAATAAGCGATTCTACGACGCAATCGCAAACACGTCAGCCCTCGTATCTCATCTCATCTCAATCCACAAACACATCGGTTTAACGTTTTATGCAATTAGAGCCAGCGGCGTATTTAGAAAATCGCGAAGGGGGGGGCCAAGGGTTTGGAGGGCGCCACCTCACCCAAGGAGGGCGCCATACGGTCGCGAGATAAAAAATCACTCAACGGGGGGGGGGGGGGGTTGGGAGGCGTTTTTTACCATGCCACCAGTTTTTTTTTGCGTAACCTCGTATAGGTCGTGCTGCATTGATTTTGCATCGTGTGTATTCTTTATACTCCAGGTCACAAAAGGTCAAGTGGTCTTGAAATGCTGCGCCGAAGGCGCGCGAAATTTTTGAAAACAACCTTTTCCTCCGCTTTTTAGGCACGCGTTTTATACGATCACTGTTCAAAGCTCCTCTCACTCTTTTACCAAATTTGAAGGCAGGGGCGTCGACGCGTAAGGAAAACTGGTCCGACTTTTTCTCGGGGGCCCCCACCGGTGGGGGCCCCCAGGTGTCGAGGCGCAGCAGGGCCCCCGCGGTCTCTAGCAGGGCCCCCCGAGCCGCAGTAGGGCCCCCGCGGTCTGCAGCAGGGGCCCCCGCGAGCCACAGCAGGGCACCGCCTAGTCGAAAAAGTGGTCCGACTAGTCGGAAAAGTCGGACCGGTGTCGACGCCCCTGTTTGAAGGTATAAAAAATACCTAAGGTTTGGTCGGGCCGCTGCCACACCAACTGTATAGAAAGCTTGGCTCATGGGTGTCGATGTACGAAACCTTAACTCGTATAAAAGTTTATTGGCGGTGGCATATTTACGCACCAGATCACCGTATCGGATTGATACCGGAGCGCGAGATGCGTAAACATCATCCAAATTACCTCAGACCAGCCTTCATAGCCTTCTCACAGGTGCATACAGTGTACCCACATAACCAGTTTCAATCACCGAAACTTCAGATGCCTGCTGTTGCGGCCGAACCTGTTGACAATACTTAATCGTAATACATATAGATGCCATGATGCACGTAAAGTAGGATCAATCCGTTAAGACCAAAGACGTGTTTTATGCATCGTAGAGCGTAGATAGTTTTGGTAGGTATAGGTACTTCATTCATTGTGCTGAATGCACGTTCATTTGTGGCAGTTTTCACAGGCAAGACATCAACTATGTGCAATAGAACGACTAAGTTGAAGAACATGCCAAAGGAGTAAATAAATGATAGGAGGGCAGCGATCAACGGATGTTGCCAATAGGTACAAGGGCTGCGATCCACAGGAGGGCGCTAATAGGTAGAAGAGCCCCGATCAACATCCCGAGTTTCGACAGTAGGGCACCGATAGGTAGGAAGTTGGCGAGCAGCAGGAGGGCGCCAATGGATAGAAGGGCAGCGATCAACAGGAGGGCACCAATAGGTAGGAGGGCCCCGATCAACAATCAACAGGAGGGCGCCACCAGGTAAGAGGGTGGCGAGGAACAGGAGAGCACCAATAGGAGGGTGGCGATCAACAAGAGGTCGCCAATAGGTGGGAGGGCGGTCATCAACTGCAAGTCGCCAATGAGCGGAAGGGTGACGATTAAAATGGGGGTGGCAATGGTGAGGAGGGCGCCTTTGCTCAAGAGGATGACACGAACAGGACGGCGTCTGTGCGGAGGGCGCTGGTCAACAGGAAGGTGCCAGTAGATAGGAGGGCGGTGATCAACAGGAGGGTGCCAGTGGTTAGGAGGGCGGCGATCAACACGAGGGCGCCAATAGGAGAAGGGCCCCGATTAGCATTCAACAGGAAGGACTAGGGAACCAATAGGTAGGAGGGCGGCACTGAACAAGAGGGTGCCAAAAGGGAGAAAGGCGGCCTTCAAAATTTCACATGAGGGCGCAATAGGTAGAAGAGCGCCAATAATTATGAGGACGCCGATCAGCAGAAGGGCGGCAATGTGTAGCAGGGTGGCGACCTACAGGAGGGCGCCTTCGGGTGAGAGGGCGCTTATTTACAGGACAGCGGCTTACATAGGCGACCACCGTTACGCTTAGAGAGCTACAGCCTACAAATGTGGTTGGAGGGCGCCCGAGGGAGCCCTCCAACCGTATTTGGAGGGCGTATTTGGAATGGGCGTCCTCCGAGGGCGCCCTCCATCCGTATTTTCCCTGTAAACACATTCGCGATTGGAGGGCGCCCTCCAGTCGCGATTGTTTTTCGATTCGATTATATCACAATTGCATTTGCGATTGGAGGGCGCCTTCGGCGCCCTCCAATCGCAAAGAACGCCTTCGGCGCCCAAGGGGGGGGGGCCATGGCCCAGTGCCCCCCCCCCCTGCCTACGCCCCTGATTAGAGCGCAATGGAAATTATTGAACTTCAAAACCCATAATAAAAGAAAGTCACATTGCTGAATAGGTAGGCATATGCTTAATTAAATGGTATAGTTTTATTAAACAACTGCAATCAAAATAATACAGATAAGCCGGCTTTCGAGTGCCGGTTCAATACTCACCTTGACCTTGGTTGTGGGACTGGTGCTGTCTGAAGCTGATGCGCCGGCGGCGATTCCTCGCGAACTGCTTGCCTCTTGGTCACCAATCTGGTATTTATCAGCTTCCCGTGCCTACCGCGCCCTGAGTCACCAGCCGCCGGGTCGTCACCAAGACACCAGTCACCGTTTGCAGCACCAGTCGTCACCACCGCCCAGCTCCGACAGTGACGTCAGCTGCGCATGCGCAGTGCAGCTCAGAGCCGGCCGACTGCCAGCTCTGTGAGAGGTGTGCACGGGTCGACCGAACCGGCCCAGCGCGACGGGCGACGGCGGAGCGGTCAGCGGGCAGACAGCGCCATCTGGGGCACCCCGAGCGCACAGCGCCAGCTAGGCAGGCGGGGGCCATAGGAGGCAATGTCATTCAGAAGAAACTCAGGGGCGAGATGATGTATTCAGCCTTGAGCTGTGAAGCTAATTTTGTTGCCCAATGTCCAGTGACTGATTACTCCACTGACTTGTTGATCTTTGAACTCTCCCCTGAGGTAACCGCTGCCAAGTTAACGTTTTTCATCCCTCAGTGCCGGAAATAGTGGATACCTTGTCTAACCACCCAACCCTCTCCTTGCAGAGCTGGAGTTTGGCGTGAACGTCTCACGACTGGTGGTTCCTGTTGAGATCCTGTTCGACAGGGACCGGGAGCACCGTGAGGCCTTCTCCGTCCATCTGACAGAGGACCAGAGAGGCCTGGCCAAAGTGACACAGGACAGAGCCGTCGTCTATGTCGAGGTAAGTGACACAGGGGTGGTAGCTTATGTCAAGGTCATTGACCAAGGACAGGGCCGTCGTCTATGTCAAGGTCAGTGACACAGGGCTGTCGTCTATGTCGAGGTAAGTGACACAGGGCTGTCGTCATGTCGAGGTAAGGGACACAGGGGTCATGTTCTATACCTGCTATGTCTATGTCAAGGTTAGTGAACCGGGACATCGCCGTCGTCTATATAGACTGTAGAGGTAAGTGCCTTATTGCAGTACCTTGCATGGGCCTTGTCTATGTTGAAACGCGTGCCTAAAGAAGAACAATTGATAATGTCGATAGGTGTCGATAGGCAGGCATTTGCCTATGTAGAGCTGTCATCTCCGTTAGGTGTTTTAGTTCGTATTCACCTTAATATGCTCAAATGTATTTTTTCATATATGCCTACGTTTTACGTACGCCGCTGTGCCACGCGGATCACGTGTGCTATGTCTGTTTCTCATAAATCCTTATGCCGCCCTAGCACCCACCACACCACGCCCCGTGAGTAACCCGTCCCCCCGTGTCCCGCGTCTCACAGGAAGTGGAGGTGGCCGCCGATGTCACGTTCCCCGCGCCACCGCTGGTCGTATCGCTGCAGGAGTACGGGGACGTCCCCGCGGCACCGGAGGCACTGCTGGCCGGCTATCCGGTGGTCTGTGTCACCGTGAGTTATATAGAGACTGGAGGGGGGGAGGGATGTGATAGGGAGTCACAGATGTCTGACTCGCTCAGGGGTTTATTATGATGTGTTCTGTGGTCACAGACTGGTCATGTTAGAATAAAACGGTGTTTTTCGTCTTGTCAACTGTATGTGGTCATGCTTTTGCATGGTCATTGTCAAGCTGGGATAAAACGGTGTTTTCCCGGTCTGTGGTCATGTTTTTTGTTGCATTCGCTTGCATTCAAGCGAAACATGCATAACATCCAAAACATATGATGCTTTCACAAAACATCCATCTGTGTTATTCACCGATTTGTCCAGCTACTAGGTTCCATGATTGCTCGAATGAACGTTAGACAGGCGCTACCCTCTTCATTCATCGACATACAACACTAAACCGACCACTGCCGTTTGCGTTTCAAGCCTGCTTCAGGCCTGTGACATTCGACACTAAACCGACCACTGTCGTTCGCGTTTCAGGCGTGTGACCCGGCGCACCCCGAGTTCGCCCGTCTGGGCCCGCTGTGTGCCCGGGAGGGCGTGGACAATAATCACACCGTGTACCGGTGGATGGTGGCATCCCCAGCACCACCCGGCCAGCCACCGCGGCCGCTCCGACAGCTCACCGCAGCCGTGTTCTTCGCAGGGTGAGACGGTCACGAGCAGGGACAGTGATCTGGGCCTGCTGTCGGACTGCTGGTCGATTCTACCAATTTACTGACATTGAGTGGTCAGCATTAGGTATTTAGGTCTGCGGATTGCTTATTTTGGCCATAATTGTTGTTTTGTCTGCTCTCACTAGTTAGTTGGTCTTTCATACGCATTTTATGTCAACTTGTCAACTTGATCATGTCAACTGTTTAATGGCCACACATGTTTAAGAAATATTTTTTTTTTCTAAATTGTCGCCTGCTGATCAACATTGCATGTTTGGCGTTTGCAGTACGCAACTCTTCGTATCCATTCCTCACCCCAGCTCTCTCACCTCTCCCCAGTACCTCTGAGCGGACCCTGGACGCCGTCTATGTACCGGTCGGCGGTCGGGTGCAGTGTGCGGCGCGCGCGGCGGACGCGGCCGGCCGGCCCGGCGCCGAGCTGCTCTCCCGACCTGCAGAAGTGGACGCCGTCAGGGGACTGTGTGAGCCGCGACTGGCGGGGACCATCGGGGCTGAGCCTTTCACCGCCAAACTCAAATATACGGGTGAGTGGATGGTGGGATTAATGGGAGATTACAGAAGCAATCGAGGTGATGGCCTGAGCGCTGAGATCTGGAGATATAATTGTGACAGGGCAGGACACCTCGTGTTGTTGATGATCAGTGACTGCATACAATATTTTCTACTTACTAACGACATTACTCATTTCTATACGTTCCATAATGTTCATCTGAATCCCTCATCAAGAGACATCACTATTCAGCGGTATTTTACGGCTGACAGTATCCCGTCGTCCTGTTTCAGGCGCCGACGACCCGACCCACCCCCACAAGGTGCGTGTCACCGTGCTTATCCCTCACGTGGACGGTCTGCTCCCGGCGCTCTCCACGCGACCTCTCAACAACTTCGACCTCACGCTGAGTAGCCGGGCGGCGCGGCTCGGCAACCACCGCTGCTCGAACCTTCTGGACGCTGACGAGGTCCGCACCGGCGCCGGGTTCATCACAAACGCCACGGCCGCGCCGCCGGCCGCCGCCGTGCCGGTGGCCGCGCACCAGCTGGACGCTGCGCTGCGCCCGGCGCGCACGCTGCGCTTCTACCGCTCGCTGGACTGGCAGGGCTGCGTGTGGCGGTTTGAGGCCGAGTACTCGGTCTCGGAGCTGGTGTCGGTGTGTGGGGCACGCATCGGCGCCGCGCCGGCCGACGACGGTCTCCTGCAGTCGCTGGTGGCTCTGACGGTGCCGCTGTATGTGAGCTATGTGTTCCTGGCGCCCGAGACACCCGACGGGTGGCAGCATAGTGATATGGCCACGCAGCTGAGGTGAGCGGAAGGAGGGTTACTGGGTCAGGGGAAGAAGAGTGACTGAGAAATCAGACGGCCATGCGGCTCAAATCATTGGATGGGTTGAGAGTCAGCTGGTGCCTCTTGGGAAGCGATAGTCAGCTCAGGCAGCATCATGAGGGAGTAGCGGCTAGCTAGATCAGGGATCGTACCACATATCCTCACTCCTCGTCCTCAGCTCAGGGAATTGGTCACCCAGATCACATTGAACGACGAGGACAGACGAGCTGCTCTTGAGCTCCATTTTATATTACACCCAGGGAGGTAATGTTTCATCCGGGGATTTGATGTCCGTCAGGCGTCAACTGATTGAAAGGTCACCGCTCGTCTGGTCTGGTCTCGTCCGACTGGCCACATTGTCCCAGTTTGTTCTCTATCTTCTCTACCCCACCGTATTACCCCGCCACGCCTTTCACCCTCCACCCGTCCCCTCACAGACTGACGTTCGCGTACGACACATCTGTCCTGTGGTCGGAGGGGATCGGACCGCCGTCTCTCTCCCCTGCCGGTGGTCAGCTCCATCCCACCGGTATGAGGCTCAGAGAGGACGGCCGGCTGGCGGTCACCTTCCGAACTGAGGCCGCCTTCAGGGGCATGTTTGTGCTGGAGCACCAGGCGCTGAGGTGAGTGAGCTAGGGGCGTTGGTTAATTGCCGGTGGCAAATGGGTTTGAATAGCGTTGTCAGACGCTAGTGTAAGTACTAAAAATTGTTGTGAAACGTCATCTTAACCATTTTGCTTACCCTAATTTCCAGGTTACTTGCTGTATCGATATCAATATTGGCACAGCCTTGTCCCATCCTATAGTTATGCCCGTTTTATGTCGGCTAATAAAAGACCGACAACGCCGTGTGTCGATTGTCTTTCCCGTGTTCATACGTGCTCACAGTCGTCCCCGTGTCCATTCGTGCCCTCTCACACTCACCCCGTGTCCTCCAGCGGTGTACGCTCTCGGGTGACGAGTAACGACCACACGGAGATGTCGTTCACGCTGCGTCTTACCCACTCGGAGCCCACGTTCGAACAGCCCACCCAGCAGTGGGAGTTCGTCTCCGACTTCGCCGTGAGTCAAACGACGCTCTCGGGAGTGTAGGGTCACGTGGGAAAGACGGTCTGGCGTTTTGTGGCGTGCTGTGGAAGCTTATGTCGTATTCGGAACTTGTACTGTCAGATAATAAACAGGAGAGATCGAGTTATTTTTACTCATTTTGAATATTTGTTGGGCATTAGGTTTATTGGTTATATTTCTTACATTTTATGGTCATTATGTAACATAAAACGATTTTTAACGTCCATGCACAATGCCGTATGCATTTTTTTTGTATCCAAGCCTTTACCATTGACGCGCAATTGTATCGGTGTTTGTCAGGCTCGCGACTACTCTGGCAACTTCAGCGTGCTCCTGGTGCCCTGCCTGGCCGAGGAGGCTGTTCTGTTCTCTGAGCCGCCCCGCTGTAACCCGGCGCCGCCGACCGAGTTCGACCTGCTTGTCAGGTGAGGTCACGTGGGGTCACTGGAGGGCACGTTAGTTCGGCTCAGGAGAGGAGTCACTAACATCGAGTTAGGTCCTGACATTTTCTGCTTATACAGATAACGTCGATATAGGCATCAGTTGTAACATGTAAGCTCAAGGTGTGTACATTAAATTCTTTAAACACATAATGACTGCATCAAATTATCAAGACATTCAAGTTAAAATATCGAGTATTTACGCAACATGTTTTATGTAATTATTTATAGACTACTCCATCCGCCTTTCCTTTCACGCGTGGCTCGTGGATTTAAAAATAAATTCCTGCAATTAACGTAACAGATGCAAATTTCCTCCTTTAACCCGGCCCACTATTCCCCGCACTCGCGTTTTTACCCTTCTCTTTGACCTGTATGACCCTTCTGACCCCCGCTGACGGCTGCCGGCAGGTTTCAGCAGGTCAGTGACCCCGTGCCGGCCCAGTTCTCCCTGAACACACAGTTCCACGTGATGAAGAAGAGGGAGGCCTGGCTGTCGGCCGACCCGACCCGACTGGGGACCAGCGACGCCGACGTGGCCTTCGCGCCCGGTGAGAAATGAAGCCGGGCCTCAGGGGTCTCTTATGTTGTTGAGAAGGATAACTTCTCAAATGGGGCTGGTACCGTGAGGACAGTCACCGTTGGGATAGATACGTGTGCTCGAAGGATGACCATTGGGGCTGGTCCCATATATGTTCAGTAGCTCACTATCAGTCTCACGCCGGGTCTCTTGGGAGACGTTTAGACGTTCGTCTCGCGGAAGTAACACCTGACCAATAACCAATGACGCATGTCACCATTGTACCGATAGCAAGAAGTATGCGTAAAAGTTACGTGTTTAGCCGTGTGCCCGTCTGAACTCAGCCAATCGAAACGTCCTGACTCCTGATCTTGTGACGTTCACAGTCTGTCAATCCTTACCTACATAGGTACGACCTCGCGTCAGTCCTTCTGTGTCTGACCATCCCCGAACCGTCTGTCTTCCCCAGGCGAGCGGGTGCTGGGCAGGATCATGGTCGACCCCGTCCAGTACCTGGGCGGGTCGTTCCACCTCTCCATCGACAAGTGTTTCCTCTGTGTCGGCGCCGACGGCTACGTGCCAAAGTTTAGCCCCGATACAGACGAGTTTGGCTGTGTGGTGCACTCGGAGAGCCTGCTGCATCACTTCAAAATACTGGTGAGATGGTCCCGCACGCCTCTCAAAGTACTTCCATTGCGAGCTTCAACTAAAGATTAGCTATTCAAAGCTCACTTGTGTTGGCTGTATGCCGAACGCCGTTCCTGCGTACGTCATAGCCGCGTGTATTCTTCACACATTTCGGCTACCTCAGCAATCAGCTGCGGTTTGCGCATCGGCCGGTTAGCTCAGTTGGTTAGAGCGTCGTGCTAATAACGCGAATGTCGTGGGTTCGACCCCCACACTGGCCAGTGTTTTCACTCTTTCTCGCCCGCTTTCAGGATCGCGATGACCCGAGCTCTGTGATCGCCACATTCAAGTCAGTGCCATTCCATTCTCGGTTTGTCACAAATGACGTGGAGGCAGCTGTCTTGCGGAATCAAACTAACTTCGATGGGTTTTCCTTTGAGTCATCACCACTCTTCCAAGTAAGTAAACACGGCATTTAGAGCATAAATAAGCGTCAAGCAGTCAGCATTGTCCAAGGAATGCTTGCTTTCTGAATACTTTTACCACATCACTGGTGTCACTACAGCCTGTAGAAGTAGGCTGCTGTGGAAGCTCGGTCCAATGCTATATTTAGTTCACCTTTGTCTTCTCAATTTCTCAAATTAACTTGATTTATTCAGGCATTTATACAAAGTTTGTATCGTTATTCAGCAGTTCTGCTGACATTTGACAGAGCTGTGTGGTTTTATCGATCTGTTTTGTTTCACAGGTCGCTCAAGGTCGCCACTGGTTCATCCACTGTATTTACGAAATTCAGTCCGCCAAGGACAGCGTGTATCGGCAGAGGCGACACGTGCTGACCTCTACGGACACTGTGAGTACTAAAGCTTCTGTGGCCGTCCGTCGGGTCGCGCGCGATGCGCCGGTGGACGGGATCGGTCGCGGCGGGCGCGGTACCAACATGCACGTGCTGTCGCTGGACTACAGCGCTGCTGCGGCTGCCGGCGAAGGGCGCGGGCCGGACAGCGGTGAGCTGCTGCTGATTCTGGGCGGTCTAATGCTGGGCGTAGTGTCCTCCCTGCTGCTGGGTCTGCTGGTGCGGCGCCGCTGGCTCTCCAAGCCACGACCAGCGGCGGCCGGTGCCCCACACACCACCCTCCACACCACCGCCTACAGTTCACTGCACGGTCGAGAGATGTCACTGCTGTCTTCCCACCCCCACAAACTACCAGCGGGGGACCGGTACAGCGAGTACGAGCCTCTCTCGCCGACCTCCAGCTGTGTGACGATCTCGGCACGGTCCCAGGCGTCCACAGGGGTGGGCCGGCCGGCACTGTGGAGCTCTGCCTCCGGGCTGCGCTGGGGCGAGCCGCTGGAGCCTCCCGTGTGGGGCGGTGGAGGACTGAGACCCGGGCGGCCGGTGGTGGGCTCCGGGGCACCGCGGGTGCTCAGAGAGTACCTGTATGATGAGGACTGCTCAGAGGTGTAGATGAGGTCGGGCTCTCTGGACCTGGGGGCAGCGCTGGGGAGGGGAGCGGGTGACGCAAGTGGCGACTTACCAAGAAAAGCCGCCAGCCATGGACCATTGGACCAATGTTGGGCCCGAGTTTGACATGAGAGCCTGATGGCCGATAGTACTGCCGTTTTTATTTTCGTATGTATGTATTTGTTGTCATTGAGTGGTTCAGTACAGTGAATGATTGTTCAACAGCATTCCGATATCTGATACTTAGCGATAGTTTTGATAGTTATGATGACTTTGCTCTTCGGCACATTGATAATGATCACTCAGCTGTTTTGGAGATTGGTAGAATTCATCTGCTCATTTAGATATGTTTCATGCTTGTCCTACCGTATCGTTTTATTTGCATCGTCTCACGGCTGGGAATTATCATTTTGATTTGTGTTTGTTATTTGTACCGTTTTACATTGCTAAGTTATGATATTTATTGTAGCGATGTTACGTGTTGTTGGCGATGGACGTGTCGGGATAAATATGTATAAACCGACTCTTCCCTTTTTGTATAAAATACATGTTTTCTAATCCGTCCGAAAAGAGTTATTTCTGGGCTGTTCTGTGAGGTATGCCGCATTACCCACATAAACAACAGTAACGACAATGCCAGCTCAATGTTCGCGCACATCCCGCCCAGTGTCGAGTACTGCACTGTAGGTAGCTACGAGCCCGCAAAATACCCCGTATATCATTTCCAGCAAATGGTTACCGTGAATCGCTTCAGGCACTGTCATTCCGCTGTCATTCCCTCGCCCTTCTACGTGGCACTGCAGGTAGTGTGCTGTCAGAGACACGTCAGCGTGAGACTGGAGTCTGGTTTCCGATTTTGATTTGCCGTGGGATCTAGCCAGCTGCTGTATGGGGCACATGCCCAGGCACTGCATTGCGCAAACACCGCGAGCACGCGAAAGGAAGCTGATAACGGTCACTGAATTACAACTGTGCCGTTTCGCTGAGACCTGTCTCTTATATCTACCGATAAGGATAATTCGTTGACCAATATCCTGTTTTTATTTCCTTTTTATATTAATGCCTGTCGTATCGTATGTCTGCTGGTGTCTGAAAAAAAAAATAACGACGTCCAAGACGTTTAATCAGCGGTGTAACTAATGTGATTCGTTGTCGTACAGAATGATAAAAATTGCAATGTTATTTTTATTCGTAAAATTTATTTACAGTTAATTAGCCGAATTCAGTTGATGCTCGGCTGTGGAATATCGCTGTGTAAATAGGACGGCGGCTCTCTGCCGCGCGGTCAGCGGACAGCAGCTGCTACTGCAGGGTGACGGTGTGGTTGGTTGCCATGTCCAGGTTGGGCCGCACCGTCAGCACGTCCTCCACGAAACTCCAGTCTTCGAAGGCCTCTCCATCCACCAGCACGGCTGTTGGCTGGTGCTGGCCGTAGAACAGCACCGTCTCCAGCACCGGCTGGTGCATCAGGTCCGTCCTCGGCTGCAGCACGTCCATGTGCAGCTCGCCGCTCTCCAGCCAGAACTGGCTCCGGTAGAAGTCTCCCAAATAGGGCGCCAGGCGCGACTCGCCGTCATCCCAGTAGAGCTCACCGGCGGCCGTGTCGCCGAACACGGAGAGGTTGAAGGGGTTCCGCCGCGCCGCCGCCGTCGTCGTCTCGTTTCTCTGCCAGGGCAGGATAGTCCCGGCGCGGGCGTACACCGGGATCATCTCGTCCATGCCCACGTGGTACTGGAAGGTGGTGGTGATGTCGCCGCTGTAGGCCAGCTTGCCGTCTCGCAAGTCCCACCACTTGCCGGCCGGTAACGTGACGTTGACGGACGTCATGCTGGTCTCGTCCAGGATCGGCGCCACCATGACGCCGTCGCCCCACAGGAACTGGGTGTCGACGCCGCGCAGCGCCGGGTCCGTGGGGAACTGGAAGGCCAGCGATCGTACTACTGGCTCTCCAAACGCCCTGGCTCGCCAGAAGAGTGTGTAGAGGTAGGGCAGCAGACGGTAGCGAAGACCGAGCGCGTCGCGCGCCGCGGCCGCCACCGACGGCCACACGGCCGGGTCCTGGGCGGGCGTCCCGATCGTGTTGTGGTTGCGACTGAAGGGATAGAACGCGCCGAGCTGCGTCCAGCGCAGGCACAGCTCCTCGGTCGAAGCGCCGTTGAAGCCGCAGATGTCTGCGCCGACGTACGGGATGCCGAACATGTTGAACTCGAGCATGCCGACGACGGAGCGTTTCATGTCCTTCCAGCGGGCGGTGTTGTCGCCCAGCCAGTGGCCGGTCCACATACCGGAGCCGGGGAAGGTGGACCTGCCGACCAGCAGGCCACGACGTCCCTCCAGCAGCATGTCCATGGCCAGCCGCGTGGCCGACGCCTCAGCGTAGCCGAACAGGTTGTGCACGTCGTAGTGCAGGAACGGGTGCGTGTCGTTGCCCTGGACAGTGCTCATGCAGATGGTGTGATCCGACAGACGCTTGCTCTCGTTGCTCGGGTCGCGTACCCAGCGGGTTGGATATGGCGGACTGTCCCACTTCGTGTCTGGGCACTTGAGACTCCACGGCGGCAGGTCATCGGGCCAGTTGAACGGCTTCTCCAGGTTAGTTCCGAACGACGACGGCTCGTTCATGTCAATCCAAAAGCCGTCGGCGCCGCCGGAAATCTCCCGGAAGCGTCGCATCTCGTCCACCCACCAGTTCACCGTCTCGACCTTCAGGAAGTCCGGGAACAGGGTCTTGCTCTCTGGCCACACGTAGCCCACGACGTAATCGCGACAGCCCTCGCACTGGTCATCGGGCACCAGGCTGGCGTTCATCCACTTGATGAAGACGTCGCTCTGGACTCCGCGGTCGGCCGACGGGTAGCCGCCGTCGAACTCTGCCGCGATGGCCGGGTCGTAGATGTAGACGAAGCGCACCTCTTCCTGCTCCCGCAGCTCCTGTACGTAGGCGGGCAGGTCGCTGAAGTTGCGCGGATCGATGGTGAAGTCGCGCCGCACGTTCATGTAGTCGATGTCCGAGTACTGGATATCCTGCGGGATCTGGGCGGCCTTCATGCGCTCGCGCACGGCGCGGATGTCGTCCGTGCTCGTGTAGCCGTAGCGGCACAGCTGGAAGCCGAGGCCCCAGTAGGGCGGCATCACGGGCCGGCCGATCGTCAGGTAGTACTGGCGCAGCACCTCCAGCGGCGAGTCGCCGAAGAAGAAGTACATGTCCAGGATGCCGCCCGTGGTGCGGAACGTCAGTGCCGTGCTGCCGTCCTCCAGCCGGAACAGACGGTACTCCATCGCGTTGCTGTTGAGGAAGAGCACGCCGAAGCTGTGACCGAAGTCGTCCTCGATGGCGGTGAAGAACGGATGCGTGCCGTACAGGTTCTCGACTCCATCACCGGGCGGCCGGTCGAGTGCGAACACCGGCCACGTCTCGCCGACGTCCAGATCGTGTCGGAAGCTGTCGTGGTTGTTCTCGCCGAAGCCGTACACATCGCTCCCAGCCAGTACAAACGTGGCCTCGATGAACTGGTCGCTGTAGACGAACTGGGGCAGCATGCGCAGCACCTCAGCTCCGCTGTGCTGCACGCTGAGCTCGAACTCGCCGTCGGTGGACAGCGACATGTCGTAGACGGGGTAGTTGGGATCGGTCGGCAGCGGCGGTACGTCCAGCGGCACCGGCACCTCGTACCGGTCGGCGTTGGCGTCTCGGAACTGACGGCAGGGATGGGAGAGGGCGTCAGCTGAGGGGAGGAATTGTGGGTGGAGATGGGAGAGAAAGAGAAAGAGACGGAGAGAGGGGAAGAGAGAAGGAGAGAGAGCGAGAGAGAGAGAGAAAGAGAGAGAGGAGAGAGAAGAGAGGGTGAGATGGGTAAAGAAGATGGATACACACGGCTCAAACAAGAAGTCAGTGCATTGAGGGTTCATTCATTCGACCTACCTGCCTCTAGCTTTTATGCCTGGATTTCTAAAGAAGACAAACAAATCATTTGTTAACACTAACAGGAACACTTAGAGCTCGGCGTCACCCAACATCCAAACCAGACATCATCGCCGTGCCGACCGGCCGCGCTCACCGAGACTCCCAGTCGATGATCGTCGTACTCGACGGCCAGCACGTGCAGCCGGTCGACGTCCCCGCCGAACACGGTAGCCTCCGGTCTCCGGCGCTCCAGATAGGCCTCATAGCCGGTGTGGATCACTAGCGGCGGCCCGTCCAGCTGGTAGCCTATGTCCTCTGCGAGCAGACAGCGGTCTCCGGACCAGAGACAGGCCGAGTACAGCGCGCAGGTTTCCTCACTGGCCGTGTCCGGGCCGCCCGGGAGAGGACAGTCCAGATCCGCCGCCCCCGCCAGCGCGGCGGTGCAGACGAGCAGCACCCAGCTGAACTTCATTGTGTGCGCGACTGACGCGCTGCTGACGGCTGGCTGAGTTTAAGATGTGGGGGCGCGGCCGAGGCGGGGCTCAGATAGCCTGGGAGGGGGACCAGCTGGTTCGGTGGCGGCTCGAAGCGCGTCGATAGGCGTTATCACAAGTGTATTCGCGGCCATTGGGGCGACGTAAGAAAAGAAGAAAACAACCGACCCCAAGAACTTTAAATTATCAGTTAGCATGCATCTTTTCCTTGATCTGTAGAGAATTTACCATTAACCCGCGCCCCAGTGGCGGTCTCGGCCAACTTCGCCCTAGTGAGGGGGGGGCATATGTTACCACCCACCTCTAACTCAAAAACTAAGAGGGCTAGAAAGACGCGGTAAAAAGCAGTCGATAGCTCTCAATACGTACGTTTGAAAGTATTTCGGTCATTTTTCACCTTAGAGCAAAATTGGGGTCACCAGAGGTCATCAAAGGTCAAAATTTGCCAATTGTCATTATACTTTTCAGAAAACATGCCGCTATCTCAGGAACTATCGTAGCTAGAAAAACGCATGGAAAAGCAATCGATAGCTTTTGAACTCTTCTTTTGAAAAGGTCATTATCAATATTGTCCTCAGGTCAACGGTTTAGCCTCCAGAAGGCAAAAACTCCAAAAATAGCTGTTTTTACGAGAAGTGTTTTTCGACAATAACTTTCGACTACAAAATTCCACGACATTTCTATTGCCAGAATCGTGTTCCCCTCACCGAGACGCGTCGAATGAACTATAATTTGACCTTGAAAGGTCAACTTAAAAATTTGACCTCAGGTCAAGGTCATGACCTGACCGGAAAAGGTCATGTTGCATATCAGTCGATGCGTCTCAACAAGACAAACACAATGAGACCATCCCCAGCGTTCTATCTCTTTTCAATCGCGAGTTATTGGCAAAAAACTGTTTGTAGCCTCAAATGACCTCTGATGACCTTTCTAGAGGCTATCAGCAAAAATGACACCTTGGTCATCACGAGTGGACTAAATCATTGTGATTCTGAAATATTTGGACTGTTCCTATGCGTACACACGGATCTAGAGGCATTTTCATTTTTCTCCATTGACTTGTAATGGAAAGGTCATGCCACTGACCTGACCTTAGGTCACGGATATAAAAAAATCCGAGATATACAAATTGTAGGCTCCCATAACAGCATGCAATCCACCAAGTTTAAAACCTTTCTGACAAACACTGCAGGCTGGACATGATTGCAAACTTTTTTTAAGGCTTGGTCAGTTAACTTGACCTGGTGACCTGACCTGACATGACCTGGGGTCAAAAATTTCACACATTGTCCAAAATTGATGTACCAAAAGCTACCCCAAGCGGCGCGGCGCTACGCGCCGCGGTTTTTTATTCACACGCGAAAAACGCGACAGGGTGGTAACATATGCCCCCCCACTGGGGCGAAGGTTAATTGCTAGAGAAAATTGCATTTAAAATCTTCCATCTATGTTTTTTTTCATCGTTTGCACAATATGTTCTTTTATTAAGCTAAAAACACTAATTAGAAATAGTTCCCGCATCATCAAGAACAATAGGGAAGGCTTGAAGTGAATACAATAATCTAAACGGTGTTGTAATCTATGTGAAAACACTTCTAAAATTGCCTGTAGAAATATTGAAGGCAAAAGTTCAACTTTTTCACAAGACGGATGTCTATAAACCTATTCAACGTGTGACAACTCAGCCGGTATTTCGTCGCCTACAGCCCAGCTTTCCCTAGTGACCGATAGAGGCGCTGCTATCGATGTCCGCCCGTGCCGCCTAACGTGCTACCGAGGCACGTGCCTTGTAGTTGTGATGAGGAAGCATTCTCTCACCACTGCCCATGGCCGTAGCCTAACGTTCTCACCAGAGATTATGTAATGTGGGAAATGTGATCACGTGAGGAGGGATATTCTTCTGAATTGGAACCTGCTTATACCGAATGTCATGGCCTTCTCTACTCCACGTTTGTTGATAGATTATTTCATTGACTGGGTCTGCTGACGAGGAATCATCTGCTGTTTACTATTTCTATTGCCGGATATGAGAGACAGGGCAGTTGCGTTGCCTTATGTAGGTAGGTACGGCTAGATTTGTTGATGGTAATAAGATTTAAACGAGGATTGATGTTTATTTTGTCATCTTCCCACATAAACATGGCAAGGACATATTTCATGGAAAAGAGTGCATTGCATTTTTTGTAACATGTGTAGGTAATCGAAAAGTGGCCGAAATAAGCGCATGACGATACAATTAAATATTAATAACGTTTGTTGTCCAGATGGAAACAACTTGTGGCCATTTGGAAGCTGACCACTTGGCCCCGTCCACTTTGCCCCGTGCATGCCGTCCGAGACAAAAATATTCCAGCTCAGCTATTAGCGGGTAAAAGTAATAAAATTGGTGGAAGACGTGTACGATAACCACGCATTGCATGAACAAGAACGATTAAATAAAATTTCAAACGGTTATGGAACAAAATATGTAACACTAAAAAAAAAAAACGCAAAAATAGTAGCCTGGTAATAAATACTTTTCCGTATTATATCACAGAACAATGGCGACGGGCCGGAAACTCCGGTGTGGCTCATTTGAACGACCGAGAAGAGAAGAGAAGAGAATTGGTAACCAATAACTGGAGTTGACTTGAGAAGGACTAAAATACGGGGTGGCCACTTTGCTTCAGTCTTCCCTACATCCGAACGGTGAGCCATACAGCATATTACGAATGTAACTAAAGCTGCCGGGATGCCGCCACCTGTGTGCTTCGATAACAGCGCGGCGTGTCTCGGTGTCCCGGGGATACTGCCAGGTGGAACGGGCGCTGAATGGCTTCCCGAGGCGACCCAGCAGATAGAGAGATGATGAAAGAGCCAACGAAGTTTTTTAGACTTGGGCGACGTTATTCTGTACAATTGATCAATCGTCGTCGTGGCTTTGCAGCCTGGTCCGTCTATGTGGGCCGTAGGGCTAACGACACATCTATATCACGACATAAGCTGGGGCATAAACTTCTCTCGACATGCGGCTATGATGCCACCCAGCTGTAGCTCGGTTCCTAGACCACATAGAGGCAAGCGATAAGCAGCTTGCGAATAGAAGTTATCAATAGGCATTAAAAGAAATTTACCTGGCGGCTGGCATACACTCGTTTCATACCCTACATCCTGTCACTCATTCACGGAAGCTTTCAAAATAATCGCTTAGATGGTGTAGCAAGGGCAAATATGCAGGCATTGTTTATGGAGTGCAAAGGTCACTTTTACTGTGACCTGTTGCCTTTGTCTGGTTGAAGTTACCTAGAGTTCACATTTTAGCATGTGCGAAAAAGACGCATGATACGGGATTCAAAAACTTAAACTGCGCGTATAGGTGCCTCCGTTCATATCTATTCTCGCAAAGGGTAGGGGCCGGTGCGCCCATTACCTACAGCTTCCTTCGGGTACCACTCTGTCGGTACCCAGTAAAAAAACGAGTTATTTCCTTCACGAGGTTACACCGTATATTGATGAAAGACATCCATATTTACAAAGCTTGCGATTTATGTTGGTCTTACACCGGGTATAGAGCCGGACCAATGCATTCGTTTCCAGAGGAAACTTAATTCTCGAGCTACCCTACTTCGTAAACAACAGAGGAAGGTCGCTGCCAAACAAACGTTTAATTGCATTGCGCCGCATTGCTAGTTAAATGTAGTGTGTAAAAACATCAAATATTATGTGATTTTAGCTTGTCCTGGACAGATTGCTAACACGGTTGCTTTAGCATTGTTTTTCGACCAAACCTGTCGGTCACGTTCGGTACATAGGCATTACAATTCCAACGGCAGTCGTAGCCGGCACGGCAAAACATAACGATCGGCCTGTATTACAGAAAAAAAGCAAATAAGATGTTGTCCCGTCTATGAACAGCGATTACGTTAAACCGGCAGCAGAACGCGTGCAACATGTGAGATCATATCACCCGGGCTTAGATCTTCCGACAGTACCGATCAACGATAGCACACATCATCGGAGTCTCGGTCATCAATTGCTGACCGTCGCAGCTCCGCCGACCTTCCGAGGGATCACCTCATTTCTGACCAACACACAACCAGCGACGCCAAATCATCAGCATTCTCACTTTCCAGACGCGTTATCAGTGGGTGCAGGTTGACTAGAGACACTCAACAGTCAGCAACCAACTACCTTCAACCATCAAGGACCACGCGATTTTGCAGACCGTTATCCGCGAACCGCAGCGTCCAAGCCAGTCTGCTCGGCTCCACCTTTTCACCTCTTTCTTCTTTTGTCTTTGGCGTGAAGCTGTGCCGCTATTCTACGTCAGTCACAAGTGCGATCAGTTCTAATTGGATCACTCATTGCCGACGGGCCGACGCTGAGAGGTCCGTCAGAGCTTGTGGACGATATGCCACCGTCTCAGCTCACCCTATGTCTCTGTGAGCTCCACTCAGCCCTCAGCTCCATCGACTCTCGGCTCCCTCAGCTCTCAGCTCCATTGGCTCTCTGCCCTCAGCTCTCAGCTCCAGCTCTCCGCTCCATCAGCTCACATTTGCTCAGCTCCCAGCTCACCCAGTGCTGAGCACCAGCTCTCAGCGTACCCGTCCAGCCAGCAGCAGCAGCACCTGCAGCAGACAGCCGGGCGGGGAGACTCCCAGAGCCCGAACGCAGGCACGCAACACCAGCAGGGGGAGGCGGCCCAGGCTCGGCCGGTGACCGCCGTTCGACATCACTGGCGTGACCTCGGGTGATTCAGGCAGACGTTAGGTGACCTCAACTGACCTGGAGCAACTGACGTAGATGACCTCAGGTGAGCTTGTGTGACCCCGGTGGACGTATATGACCTTAGGTGACCTCGGCTGACCGCTGCAGACGCGGATGACCTTTGGTGACCTTGGCTAACCCGGAGCCTACATAGATGACCTCAGGTGACCAGGGAGGTAACTGATGACCTCGAAGCGGACTTTGACTGATCACTTGACGGAGAAGACTGTCCGGCGTCCTTCCTCAGATGCCGTCCATCTCACTGCCGTGATATTGGCTGCCCCCTGCCACGTCTACTGTGATGTGGCTGTCCATGCCGCCTTTCGCCTTCTCCGTCGGCGTTGGTTACGGTTTCCATGGAAACGCCTCACAGAAGGCATCCCAGGCACGAGGTGAACATGCAGAACAGGCCGAGCACGTATCGCAGCATGGTGGCGGCTGCTTCACTCCAGCTGCCTTCAAGAACGTCAGAGATGACGGTTGTCCGGTGCAGAGAGCTGTGGCAGCTCGAACTCAGCCACAAGGCACGGATAAGTTCAGACTGATAGATCTTGCACTGAGCACTGAGAGCTTGTTAACCGATGTCTCAGCTGTGAGCTCTCGGAGAGTTTCAAACCTCAGCTGATGATCTCGTCAGCTCTCTGTACCTCAACTTCTAGACTCGAGTAGCTGAAGGAGGTGACGTACCGGAGCTGACTGAAGCTAACTGCGGCCACCTCCAGAGCTGAATGCGTCCGTCCTCCTCCGAGACCGTCTCGCTCCCGACTGCAGTCAGTGCGTGGCGCTGGCAGAGGTGCCGACCCGCCGTCCAGGAGGTCTCAGCGGGAGGCACCTGCCGCACCTCCTGCCGACCGGGACTCCAAGAGCCGCGCTGGCCCCATTCACCCCGCGCGGTCACCAGTTTTATCCCGCTCTCTTGGGAGGTGACCTCCCAGGCCGCTGCGGCGGTAGTGGCCGGCACAAGAACGGTTGCCTTTTGCCAAGAACGGTATTTTGGGCTCGGTGGTCTCGCTGGGGGAGGCGATGCCGGCGTACTTTAAAACGGTGCGGGAGGCAAAGCCGGCGGAACTTTAAACTGTCCGGGAGGCCGGCAGCAGGCCGGCTGCCAGTGAATGAACGGAGCTGGGCGCACAGCGCACAATGGCCAGTAGGGATTGCTGTAGGGGCCAGTGCTGTATAGGGATTAAAATTACGTGTATACCATTATTATTGTCGTCTTTTTTACGGCATAATTATGGCTTTGGCAATGCACGCTTTCGTTCAAGCATGACAATGATGATAAGCTCTCGTTCTTGCTCACGCAATTCGGAATGCCAATTTTATTAAATGAGTTCGAGTTGATTGAAAATTTGTGTGCAATTTTTAGCCTTTACACCTACCTATGCATAGGTGACAGGAAGGGTGACCTGAGCGGGCCAACCGTTTTTTTTTCACAGTCTAAGTCATTTATTCAGACAATCTAAGTCATAATGATTTCAGATTTACCACGAGTGGAATTTATATAGGCATTTTCCAAGTTATGCTATAGCGAAATTTAAAGCCGAAATGCCCGAGTTTGATATAGGTACAGGGACCCGCAGTTGCTACTGTACAGCGACCCTGAGTAAATTGTCCCAGCACCCTCACAGGGAACAACGATAAGCTGTCAGAGGGTACTCACAGGAAACCTCAGCTGCTCTTGTACAGGGACCAGCAGTCGATATCAATGTTATCGGTTGTTACTGGACAGGACAGACGGTTAGACTTGGGGTTCGTGAACAGTAGCAACTGCGGGTCCCCGTACGTGTAAATGCAAGCCTAAATGCAAGCTTGAGGTAGGTAGATATACCAACATTGTGCATGCTGTCAATGCTTCTTTATTGTTTATGGCCGCATACGTTTTGCCTTCAAAATTCATTCACCAACCGTTCATCGTGTCCGTATCACAGGGACATTTCCCTCAGCCCAGGCCTCAGCACCATCTGAACAACGTTCGGGTGCTTTAATATTTTTGCAAGTTTCGTTTTCTTTCATTGTCTCTCCCTCACTTATAGTGTGAAATTTGTTGCGAAATTGACTCGATCCTTACCCACCGATACCGAAAACTAAAATGCCTTGGCTTAGCATTTAACGCTCTGTCATCCTAATTATTCGCTGAAGGTTTAAAAGCAATACATATTTTGGTCGGCGAACCGTGAGCGGGCATTTATTGATGTGACCTGGACCTGATGACCTGACTTCCTAAGCCAGGACCTCGTGCTCTAAAAGTTCGCAATAGGTGCATTAGCCGACCCCGTCATCGGCGATCCCGTTGTCTTCCCACGTTATATCGTCAGCGATAGGTTGGTCAGTACTCAGTGGTCACTGCTCGCGCTTGAAATATGAGGAGCCGGAGTCAGAACCGTTATCTCCGATGCATTTTGTCCCGATCCAGTTTTCCAGTGCACGAGCGCACGGGAACCGTCTACGGTCTATCTTTAGGTATCGCATCTATGTTTATCGGTGATGTTGATGATGGTGGCTTTGCTAGACCTTAGTGTGCAGAGGCTCCGAATTCGGGTATCGATGTTCAACGATTGGCTTCATAATCCACCACTAGCATTACGCAGACAAACCTATGTCTGAAAGTGTTCTATTTCAACTTGGACAGTATTGCTGAGTTGGCGATGAAGTGCTCGCCATAAGCCACTACTCATAGTTTGTGTTCACATTACAAGGCACATACGTTCCTTCTGTACGGCGGCAAGAACATTTATCATATCACAGCATGTGATAAGGCCTACATGATTCCTTCCCATTAGTCACTTTAATCATATATCCCTTCCGTGAATGCCACACCAGACGCAAATACCAAATTGATACAAAAATTGTACTTGGAAAACATTGACACTGATATTTACATAGCGAGCTGACGTGGGCGGCGGCGCGGCGCGGGCTACACGCCCGTCTGGGTGTCACTGGCGATCAGCTGGCGGCGCTTCCACACCGTCGGCGACGCGCTCTCTGACTTTTTCAGTTCGTACACGTTGGCAGTGACGCTGCGGCCGGCCGGCCGGCGCGTCCGCCGCGGCGGCGCCTCGGCCTCGGCGGCTCGCCGGCGCACGCGCGGCTCGGCCGGCGGCGACTCGGCGGCGGCGGCCGTCTGAGGGCGCACGCGCCGCACCGGCGCCGGCGCCGCCACCACCGTGTGCTGCGAGATGTTGGGCGAGGTCCGCGAGCGGGCCATCTCTCCGCCGCCGCCCGAGGGTAGCACGAGTTGACCGAGCGTCACGTGGTCGGCGGGCGGCGGCCGGACGCGGCGGCGCGGCGCGGCCGCCGGCGGGCCGCCCTCCGAGCCCACCGAGCCGGTGCTGTCGGCGGACGGCGATCGCACCACCTTCAGCTGCGGCCGCGCCGGCTCGCCGCCGGCCGTGATGACGAACCCTCGTTCTCCGACCTGGCCGGAGACGGAGCGCGCCAGCGGCTGGATGCTCAGAGAGCCGGTGATGGGCTGCTCGGAGCAGTGCGAGTCGGAGCTGCTCGAGCGGTGCCGCTGCCGGCTGTCGAGCACCGGCGCCGAGTCACGCTCCGCCAGGAACACGTCGTCCAGGCCGGACACAGTCTGACACTCCTCGATGTAGGGGATGTCGTCGCCAGCGCCGGTGGAGCTGAGCGCGCCCGTCGACGCCGGCGCCGGGATCGTCAGACTGGCCGTGATGACGCCGCTGACGTCCAGCTCGGGCGAGCTGAGCCGGCGCTCGCAGCGGCCGGTCAGCTGCGGCGCCGGCGCGGCCACCGTCTGGTCGGAGCTGCTGCGCTGGCGCGGCGTGGGCCGCATCAGCAGCGGCCGGTCCGCGGCCTGTAGGCTGCCGCGCCGGCCGCGCGGCTCCGAGCCGGAGTCGGACGCCTGGGAGGAGGACTTGTCGCGGCGCCGGAACCACCGCGAGGTGGCCGGCCGCTCCTCGGAGCTGCGCTGCTCCTCGGAGGCCTGCCGAGTGGAGCTGGACGAGCGCACCCGCCGCCGGAACCAGCCCCCTCCGCCTCCGCCTCCCGCCAGGTCCTCCCGCGAGCCGGACTTGTCCCGGCGCCGGCTGCGCTCCCGACCCGTGTCAGCCTCCTGGCGCCGCCTGGCGGCAGAGAGCGGAATAAGAGTCAACACAATCTGACGCGCTGGCGCTACAGTGGAGCTCAAAGGCTGGAGGAACGGGATGAAGTGGGGGTGATCGAAAGCGACTTTCAGAGGATCAATTAGGTCAGGCATGCAGTTTTGTTTTGAACAGCATAGGGCGTGATCGATCAGAAAATTCGTCCCTTATAATTGGTCATTTAGACACTAAATTTAAACTGCTTTCGAAATAAATATTTCTTTTTGCCCCGTTCCACGTCACTTTCACGCTCACTGCCCTCTCGACATGTCCCTTGACCGATTCAGAGTACCAAAGTTGATAGAAGAGCACTGACCTAAATCTGCGAGATCTTTCCGCGGTGGGTTTGCTGACAGTGGGTTCTTGAGGCGCTGGTTCTCGTTTTCTTCTTCTCAGTTCGTCGCCGCCGTCCCGCGTCCTGACGGTAGTCGAAATATTAGTTTTTTCAACCGTTTTAATACATGGAGCTTCTCCGTCAAGACGCTTTGCCATTTCAAATAACATATGCTGATATCTATGCAAAGTATTGCTAGATTTAGCGTTCGAATGTGCCGCCTAATGAAATAGATGCAACGAAATAGCTCGATGCGGCGTAATTTATAACTATCATCATCTTTTAGTTTTACCATGGTTTTACTTAATGGTTCAGTAAACAAACTGCAAATGCAACGCCCTTGCCGTAAGCGTTTTACTTAATTCGTCCTCACACCATTCGCTTGGTTAATTCGTAATTCGAGCAATTATCAGTGCAGCGTTAGTATTTATGATAAAATTATTTATCGGCAAATAAATCGGCGCTGCATTTAAACGGTACCAGTTCAGTGACTGGTGCAGCTCCGGAGAGTCGGCTGTACTGACCGTTCCCGATCGGTGGCGGTCGCCGGCTGCGAGCCGCCCTCACTGCACTCGAACACCGAGCTGCTCGTGTCCAGCTCCAGGTCGACCCTGCCGCAGGCCAGGTCAACTGGGTCAGACACGGGCGAACAGATACGTCAGGGTCACACACACCGGCTGGGAGAGACGGGGTCATTTAAAGAGCAGAGGCCAATCTAATGACACACGATTACCGATGCTCTGCAAATAACTGGAAAGAAACTTCAGAAAAAGATCCAAGTGTAAAAGACGTTCTGTGTGGAAGCACTTCAGAACTTCGACTTCCGTTTAATCATAAATAAAACTATGCGATCTAGAGGGTTCCAGTCTTCGAGAAAGATAAAGGTGTACAGCGATCACCAATAGAAAAGAGCTAGTGAAAATGGTGAAGGACTTTATACTGGTGTTCAAATGGTAAAAAGAAGCTTTTAACACGTTCAAGACACGTTGAAAAGTCATCGAACGACGAACCAACATAAAACAAGCAATAGAAAAGTTCAAGCTTTGGAGACAATATAGAAGGATTTTGTGCTGGCAGTAGGCAGTTCGTATGCTTATTTGACGTCTTGCTATCATGTGGCTGATTTTTTCCGTGTGGCACCTTGCGGTAATTTGGCAGAAAATCATTCAAGGTGATGATGTGTAAGTACCTATTGAAAGAATGCTCCTGGGCCCCGCCGATTTTTCTTTGGCTGATGGCAGTATCCATCGAGCCATGCGAAAGCAGTGGTTAGGCTGCGCCGCCTTACACCGCTGCGATGCGGTACAGCCTACCTACCAGGCAGCTCCGGCGAGGCACCTCCCATTGTTCGTTGTTGAGGATACACGGATAATATGGAGTTTTACTTACATTCGTTGCTGTTTATCATTGGTTAGTACATCGGAAAGGGGTATATAAGAGACATACATATGCATCGTGCGATCGGAATCTCTTAGAATTTCGTCTTATTCACGATGTTATAAGATTAGAAAAGGATCGCACTAAGCTGGGCATAAAGGAAATTATATCTCTGTATCTCCTCAGCGTTCAATGCAACCTTGACGAACTACCTACCTCCTTCACAAGCAGCGACTAAATGCTCAAAAGAAAACGGATGAGCCTGATATGCTTTTTCGCATTCCTTTTCGTAAGAATTTCAAGATGAGAATGCTCGAATTAACAAGCGTGAATAAATGAAGAAAACAAGAGAGGAGACAGTTTCAACAAAGAACGATAGTAAACAAGTAAATGGGTTAGAATCAACTTACCAACAAAATAAGATAAGACGCCGATACAGCGTGGGGAGGTTGGAGGAGTGGTATATCACGGGGCTGGGAGGAGGGGGAGGGGTCACGACACGCGTGGCATGCAGATGTTAGCTCACGTTGTCAGTGGTCGGCGGGCACATTCACAGGTGTCAGTGGTCGCTAGGCGAGCCGCGCTTATCTACAAAAAACGGAAACGGACCAGCGTCAGTCAACGTGCGTGCTAAACGTGGCCGGGCCGGGAATTGACGTCACAGGGGTAGGGTAAAGTGCCTAATTAGCGACCCTTTCCGATTTGCGACCTACCTCCCTACAGAAAAACTGGCAGGAGAAAACGGGGTAAAAACATCGTCAAAAGGTCAGCCATACTTTGGTTATCAAATTGAATTATTTTCCGGTCGTCGATGTTTCTGGTGGGACGTTTCAGGTGAGTTTAAATAAAAATAACGAGTTTCTTATCCAAAACGTGTGTGTTTGGGCCCTCTCTGATGAAAAGCGATGCACATTAGGATGATGCACCTTTTTTATTCTGAATCGACATTCCTTTTTCAATTGATTGCCGTTTTCCCATAGTGAATCGCTCAACTGTGCACAGCATGGCGGTTAAAAATGTGTCGCAACTCATATTTCCTATTCGCGCCTGACATGGTCGCAAATAGCTCAAGAAGGGAAAGAAAGGGGAAAAGAGAGAAATGAAAATGAGGTGTTGTTGAAGCTTGCAATGTGTGGCAGGGGATGCCAAATGTCGTCACCGACTGCAGGGGTGCCGAATTCAGCGCGGACCTCGAATAGCATACGAGATAGCCCGCAAAATTTGGGTTTCCGCCTTCTTTTCGCCTTCGGTGCATCACGTGATTAGTTTTTACTTACGTAAATGTGTTGGATAAACGTCCCTGTTCGAGTGATTGAGTGCTTTGCGTATAAAATTACCTTTTTGAGATCATATTTCATCTTTTCAGTCGTCGCATTTTTTGCCATTGTTAATATGGGTAAACCCATAGACTTATTAGCGACCCTCCCCGGTCGCTAATCGGGACGAATTCCCTATTAGCGTTTTTTGCAATGTGTTGCCAAAATGCTCACTACAAATAAGTTAGTGAATATTGGGGCAGAAAATGACTATATTTTAATAGAAAAATGAACGATCTCTCCGAAAATCAAGCCAGTAATACAGTGGCACCCACAGAGCGTGAGCAATGACGGTTCAAATTAAATGTCCGTGAAGTTGGCGACGTCGCCAGCGACTTTTCCAGCGACGAGCACCGATTTTAGCCAAAACCTCGCCCAAGGTCAATTGGACCATGAGGATCACGAAAATCGAACCCATTCACCCCTAAACCTTGACCTTCAAGGTCAAATTCAAGGTCAAAGGACGGGGAACTGAAAAAGTGCCACTAAATATTGTCCGATTTTCAAAATTTTGGCACCAAAATGTAGCGCGTGCTGAGTTCTAGCCGCACATCGAAAACCATTTTCATCAAGGTCAAACTTCAAGGTCAAATTCAAGGTCAAAGGACGGGGAACTGAAAAAGTGCCACTAAATATTGTCCGATATTCAAAATTTTGGCACCAAAATGTAGCGCGTGCAAAGTTCTAGCCGCACATCGAAAACCATTTTCATCAAGGTCAAACTTCAAGGTCAAATTCAAGGTCAAAGGACGGGGAACTGAAAAAGTGCCACTAAATATTGTCCGATTTTCAAAATTTTGGCACCAAAATGTAGCGCGTGCAAAGTTCTAGCCGCACATCGAAAACCATTTTCATCAAGGTCAAACTTCAAGGTCAAATTCAAGGTCAAAGGACGGGGAACTGAGAAAGTGCCACTAAATATTGTCCGATATTCAAAATTTTGGCACCAAAATGTAGCGCGTGCAAAGTTCTAGCCGCACATCGAAAACCATTTTCATCAAGGTCAAACTTCAAGGTCAAATTCAAGGTCAAAGGACGGGGAACTGAAAAAGTGCCACTAGATATTGTCCGATCTTCAAAATTTTGGCACCAAAATGTAGCGCGTGCAAAGTTCTAGCCGCACATCGAAAACCATTTTCATCAAGGTCAAACTTCAAGGTCAAATTCAAGGTCAAAGGACGGGGAACTGAAAAAGTGCCACTAAATATTGTCCGATCTTCAAAATTTTGGCACCAAAATGTAGCGCGTGCAAAGTTCTAGCCGCACATCGAAAACCATTTTCATCAAGGTCAAACTTCAAGGTCAAATTCAAGGTCAAAGGACGGGGAACTGAAAAACTGCCACTAAATATTGTCCGATCTTCAAAATTTTGGCACCAAAATGTAGCGCGTGCAAAGTTCTAGCCGCACATCGAAAACCATTTTCATCAAGGTCAAACTTCAAGGTCAAATTCAAGGTCAAAGAACGGGGAACTTTAAAAATGCTACGTCACCAGCGACTTTTCCAGCGACGAGCACCGATTTTAGCCAAAACCTCGTCCAAGGTCAATTGGACCATGAGGATCACGAAAATCGAACCCATTCACCCCTAAACCTTGACCTTCAAGGTCAAATTCAAGGTCAAAGGACGGGGAACTGAAAAAGTGCCACTAAATATTGTCCGATTTTCAAAATTTTGGCACCAAAATGTAGCACGTGCAAAGTTCTAGCCGCACATCGAAAACCATTTTCATCAAGGTCAAACTTCAAGGTCAAATTCAAGGTCAAAGGACGGGGAACTGAAAAAGTGCCACTAAATATTGTCCGATTTTCAAAATTTTGGCACCAAAATGTAGCGCGTGCAAAGTTCTAGCCGCACATCGAAAACCATTTTCATCAAGGTCAAACTTCAAGGTCAAATTCAAGGTCAAAGGACGGGGAACTGAAAAAGTGCCACTAGATATTGTCTGATCTTCAAAATTTTGGCACCAAAATGTAGCGCGTGCAAAGTTCTAGCCGCACATCGAAAACCATTTTCATCAAGGTCAAACTTCAAGGTTAAATTCAAGGTCAAAGGGCGGGGAACTGAAAAAGTGCCACTAAATATTGTCCGATTTTCAAAATTTTGGCACCAAAATGTAGCGCGTGCAAAGTTCTAGCCGCACATCGAAAACCATTTTCATCAAGGTCAAACTTCAAGGTCAAATTCAAGGTCAAAGGACGGGGAACTGAAAAAGTGCCACTAAATATTGTCCGATCTTCAAAATTTTGGCACCAAAATGTAGCGCGTGCAAAGTTCTAGCCGCACATCGAAAACCATTTTCATCAAGGTCAAACTTCAAGGTCAAATTCAAGGTCAAAGGACGGGGAACTGAAAAAGTGCCACTAGATTTTGTCCGATCTTCAAAATTTTGGCACCAAAATGTAGCGCGTGCAAAGTTCTAGCCGCACATCGAAAACCATTTTCATCAAGGTCAAACTTCAAGGTCAAATTCAAGGTCAAAGGACGGGGAACTGAAAAAGTGCCACTAAATATTGTCCGATCTTCAAAATTTTGGCACCAAAATGTAGCGCGTGCAAAGTTCTAGCCGCACATCGAAAACCATTTTCATCAAGGTCAAACTTCAAGGTCAAATTCAAGGTCAAAGGACGGGGAACTGAAAAGGTGCCACTAAATATTGTCCGATCTTCAAAATTTTGGCACCAAAATGTAGCGCGTGCAAAGTTCTAGCCGCACATCGAAAACCATTTTCATCAAGGTCAAACTTCACGGTCAAATTCAAGGTCAAAGAACGGGGAACTTTAAAAATGCTACGTCACCAGCGACTTTTCCAGCGACGAGCACCGATTTTAGCCAAAACCTCGTACAAGGTCAATTGGACCATGAGGATCACGAAAATCGAACCCATTCACCCCTAAACCTTGACCTTCAAGGTCAAA